TTTTGTGCCGATGTTTGAGATAACACTGGAATGAGAAGAGACAGAGGGGTAACTGGATGGAGCCATGGAAAAGATAACCTTTTCCGTAAAGTAGAATTGAACTAATATGGCAATGATGTGTTGTCAAAGGCTTTCATGGCTGGAATCACTGGGTTGCTGTGAGTTTGCTGGGCTGTATGACCATGTTCCAGTAGCATTCTTTCCTGATGTTACACCTGCATCTGTGACAAACATCCACAGAGGTTTGTTAAAAGGTCTGTTGGAAATGAGGTGAGTGGTGTGTGTGTGTGTATGTATATGTATGTATGTGTATACACACACACACTCACTCACCATCTCTTGCCACGCATTGCTGTGGCCCAGTCTGTGTATGTGTGTTTTGTGTGTATATATGTATATATGTGTATGTATATTTATGTATACGTGTACATATGTGGTTTTGTGCATGTGTTGTAATGTATATATTTTTTACTTTTTAAGTCTCTTCTGCTGTGCTTTTCAGTGTTTTTATGAGTCATGATCACTCATTGGCCTGATCGGTGTATTGTATCCAAATTTGGTGTCAATTCGGCCAGTGGTTTTTGAGTTATATTAATCCCACAAACGAACATTACATTTTTATTTATATAGATATATCTGTGGACTGTCCAGGGTGGGGTAACGAACCCTTTGTTTGAACCAACAGTTAATGTTGCAATTGCCAAGCTTGGTTAGCATTGAGTAGCCTTGTAGCTGCAAAGTCATTTAGTGTTGTTGCCTTGAGGCATCCTTTGTTTGGGAGATGTTAACTGGCACTTGATTGTTTGCTGTCTGGAATTCCCCTTACTGAGAGCTGTTCTTTATTTACTGTCTTGATTCTGGTTTTTAAAGTACCGATAGCCAGATTTTGTTTATTTTCATGGTTTTCTTCTTTCTGTTGAAATTGTCCACATGCTTGTGGATTTCAGTGGCTTCTCTGTGTAGTCTGGCATGGTGGTTGTCAGAGTGGACCAGCATTTCTGTGTTCTCAAATAATATTCTGTGGCCAGGACAGTCCACAGATATACATACACTCTGCTTGCCTCATTTCCAACAGACCTCCAGACAAACATCTGAGGATGTCTGCCACAGATGCAGGACAAACATCAGGAAAGAATGCTACTGGAACATGGCCATACTGCATGAAAACCTCACAGCAACCCGATGGCAATAATGTTTAGTTGTGTTCACTCAAAAGGAAAGTCCAGTTGCAATTTATAGGGCTTACTCCTTGGATAGCCTTGCATCTTGCCTTGTGATGGGGCAACAGGTCAAACTGTCAAACTCTTGAATCTGCTGACCTAAAGGTTGGCAGTTTGAAGCCATGGGTCGGAGTGAACTCCCACTGTTATCCCTCACTCCTGCCAACCTAGCAGTTTGAAAACATGCAAATGTGAGTAGATAATTAGGTACTGCTTCAACAGAAAGGTAATAAAGGTGCCCATGCAGCCATGCCGGAAAACACAACCAGGAGATGTCTATGGACAACAGGCTCCTCGGCTTCGAAATGGAACAAGAGCACCTCCCCGTGGCCAGAGTTGAGCACTGTCTCCAGAAAGCCGGAGATGAAAGGGGAAGCCTTTACCTTTGTTTTGTGTATTTGTATGTCATTGTTATTCCACTGTATTAAAGGCACTGAATATTTGCCTCTCTGTTTATCTTGTAATCTGCTCTGAGTCCCCTTGGGGAGATAGAGCAGAATATAAATAATGTATTGTTGTTATTATCTGCACTGTATAGTGAATGCATTTTGATACCACTTTAACAGCCATAGTTCAATGTTATGGGTTTATGGGAATTGTAGCTTTACAGGGTCTTTAGCCTTCTCTGCCAAACAGCCCAAATTACAAATCAGGAAGGACAAGAAAATGGTGGAAGAGTATGAAGTTATCCATCAACATCAAACTTGATAGGCGTACAAGTCTCCAGGTCACCAAGCTGCAATGTATCCTATCCCTATATTTGTTCTAGTCATACTTTTTAACTGTACATCCTTACATATATCATATAATCACAGAGTTGGAAAAGCCCATATGGGCCATCCAATCCAATCCTTTGCCATGGAGGAAAACACAATCAAAGCACTCCAACAAATGGCCATCCAGAGTCTAAAAGCCTGCAGAGAAAGAGACTACACCATGCTCCGTGGCAGCGCAAACTGATAATGCTGCATCCTTGTTTCCTTTCTGTATTCCAGCTCCTCCGCTGACTTCTCATTACAAAAGCCATTACTATTTTTCGATAGCAGTCTCAGTGGGTTTGGGATGACCAACTTGGCGGTGGTTGTGTTCATCAGTTATATTAATGATGTATCTCCCCCCAAATCCTGCCTGACTATAGGTGGAAGTTCATACTCTTTCTAGTAGTAGGTGGGAATACATTCATAAAACCAGAAACCCGGATAAGTGCTTTTTCAGGCATTGTATTGAGAGATATTCCACCCACCTGTTCCGGATGTTCTTTCAGTTTTGGGGAATACTGTGCAACGGAGATCATGAATAATCTTCACCGTCTTATTTTATGCAGGAAGAAGAATGAGGCCACGAGAATTCAAAGGAGTAAAGGAAGTCTGCAGGAGTCGTATGTAAGAAAATGGGCACAAAATAGCCGTGATCTCCTCTGTTTGGTGTAAACTCTTCATGCACTATGAAGAATGGCAACACTGTGAAATGCATGCCAATAACTAGGTGCTGTTGTACAATGCACGACACACAAAGTGCAACTGCTGCTTAATGTATGATGTAGGTAAAGGTAAAAAATTCTTCTTGACATTAAGTCTAGTTGTGTCCGGCTCTGAGCAGTGGTGCTCATCTCCATTTCTGAGCAGAAGAGCCGGCATTGTCCATAGACACCTCCAAGGTCATGTGGCCAGCATGACTGTATGGAGCGCCATCACCATGTTTTCAAACTGCTAGGACGGCAGAAGCTGGGGCTAACAAAGGGAGTGTACCTCATCCTGTGGATCGAACTGCCAACCCAGTCAGCAAGTTCTGCAGCTTAGCGGTTTAACCCGCTGCGTCACTGAGGCCTCTAATGTATGAAGTACATGTTGCCTTATCTCTGTGTGAGCCAATGACAGGATGGCAACCTACTTGTTTTTTCCTACTTAGCTTTTATACATCAACAAAACTATTCTACACTAAAGTGGTAGCAATGGCTATTAAATTCACATCAATTCCAGGTTGCAAAACAACCAAATATGAAAAGGTGAAAGGGCGGAAGCAAAAACCTTGGTGTTGTAATGGCACAATTGCCAACCACTTCATTCTTTTTCTGTGTCTCATTGCAGTTGCTGTTCTTAAACCATGGTCCCCAACCTTTTTTTGACCAGGGACAACTTGACCAAGGACCACTCTCCAACATAACCATGTTTCCCTGGAAATAAGACGCGGTTTTATATTTATTTTTCCTCAAAAAGACACACTCTAGCTTATTTTCAGGGGATGTCTTATTTTTATTCAGTACTAGCTGTTCCCTGCCACGTGTTGTTGTGGCCCAGTCTGTGTTGATGTGTTTTTTGTGTGTGTGTATGGGTATATATGTGTGCTTGCGTATATATAAGTGGTTTTGTGCATGCGTTTATTAAGCCTCGGCACTATACGAGAGTTTCTTGAGACCAGTCGCTCTTGTTGCAACGGTGTAGTAATGGTGAGGCCGCAGATCGTATTTTAGTTATTTCGGATCACCGGTGGCACAGTGAGTTAAACCCTTGTGCTGGCAGGACTGATGACCATCAGGTCAGTGGTTTGAATTTTGTAAGCTGACTGGCACAACCTGGGGATCACAACCAGACACAGTGAAGGCATCTGCCCTTGCGCTGTGCTACTCTGCTGCTGAGTATGCATGCCCAGTGTGGAACACATCTCACCACACTAAAACAGTGGATGTGGCTCTTAATGAGACATGCTGCATTATCACAGGGTGTCTGCGCCCTACACCACTGGAGAAATTACACTGCTTAGCCGGTATTGCACCACCTGACATCCGCCGGGAAGTAGCAGCCAATAGTGACAGGACCAAGGCAGTGACATCTCCAGCTCATCCCCTGTTTGGGTATCAGCCAGCACGTCAACGACTTAAATCAAGACATAGTTTTCTTAGATCTACAGAGACACTCGCTGGAACACCTCAGCAAGCGAGAGTCCAAAAGTGGCAGGCCCAAACCCAGCACCTCAATCCATGGGTGATACCAGATGAGAGACTCCCCCCTGGGCACACAGAAGACTGGGCGACTTGGAAGGCGCTGAACAGACTGCGCTCTGGCACCACGAGATGCAGAGCCAACCTCAAGAAATGGAGCCACAAAGTGTAATCCACGACATGTGAGTGCGGAGAAGAGCAAACCACTGACCACCTGCTGCAATGCAACCTGAGCCCTGCCACATGCACAAGGGAGGACCTCCTTGCGGCAACACCAGAGGCACTCCAAGTGGCCAGATACTGGTCAAAGGACATTTAATCAACTACCAAGCTTGCAAATTTTGTGTTTTGTCTGTTTGTTTGTTTTGTTCTGTTAGAAATGTAATACAGTTGTCTGGTTGCCCCTGACACGATAAAAAAAAATAGTGGTTTGAATCTGGGGAGAGTGGGTTCAGCTCCTTCTGTCAGCTTTAGCTCGACACGTGGGGACACGAGAGAAGCCTCCCACAAGGATAGTAAACATCAAGCACCTGAGTGTCTCCTGGGTAATGTCCTTGTACCCACAGAAAACCATATGTAATAATCTAGAGCTGATGTGCTAGTAGTAATCTTCTGAGGGTCATCAGCCTCTCCCCTCCAAACATCCCTGTTGCCTCGGCACTATAAGAGGGTTTTGCGAGGCCAGTCGCTGTTGTTGCTGTGTGGTTTCAAGGCAACAGTGTAGTAATGTTGAGGCCACGGACCATATTTTTGTTCTTGCGGACTACGGGTGGTCCACGAACCAAAGTTCTTAAAGAATGGTTCTTAGCATCCCTCAACTGCAGAAAGTCAAGCTGAGATACTTCTTTTGAATAGTTTATTTTGACTTTACATGCGGTGTTAAAAACCCAAAGGACGTATTATTTACACATCCACAATACAAGTTTACAAGATATCTATACATGTTAAAGTACTCTATAGACTGTATAGAGCAGCTTTTTTAGGGTTACTTTTGTAAGCTGTACCATTAAAAAAGATACAATCTGCATTTACCTTTGCACAAATGGATAAAGCATATTTCTTTTTTTTTAAAAAAAAAATGATCCCAAACCCAACATAAAAATTATAAATTAACAGAACCAAGACTATGTTGAATGTTAAAGAGATTTCAACATAAATACTGAGAGGACTCACATTACCATCTAACAAGGCAGCACATTGTTACAGAAAGTTATTTGGGTTCACATAACATTTATGTTCTGGTATCACACAAGTATGGATTATTCATTAATATTTGTAAAGGACGTCAATTCAGTCGTGTCATTTGATTCGGTCTTTAGAATTTTTTTTTTAAAAAAAACGTATTAGTCTCATGGTTGAAATGTTCTTAAGCAAAATAAACGACCCTCGGTATTTTCGGAGGGGGAGTGAAAGTCCTTTAATGGCCGACATACAGAATGGAAAAGGGGGAATAATAGCATATATTCAGGAACAAGGATATTTTAGGTGAAAGAGTTAAGACCTCTTTTTTTTTTTTGCAGAGTGAGGGGGGACATATGAGGGTTGAATGAAAAGTAATGCCTCCATCTTCTTTACTTGGGTTTGGATGGGAATATTTTAATAAACCAAACGCAGAAATAATCCTTAGAATGTGCTCTTTAACTAACACTATTCACTTTTCCACATAATCACCAGACAATTGGATATGTTTCTGCCAACGATGAACAAGTTTTCTGAAGCCGTCACGGAAGAAGTTGACACTGTTTCCGCAACCAGCGTGTCACATTTCTCTCACCCTCGGTACCCATTGTGCACAGATCTTCCGACAGCCAAGCAAAGCAATAATGTGACCCACACGTTCTTATGAAATGCCGAAGATGCTTGAAATTTCTCTCTGAGTGATACGATTGTCCTGAATCAATCTGTCAACCTTTTGCTTGTGAAACCTGGTGGTTGCTGTCACAGGACGTCCAACTCTTTGTTTGTCATGCAAGTCAGAGATGTACCTACCTCAACATCTTTAAACTTACTCGCCCAGTGATGCAGAGAACTCATATCAACACAATCACCATAAACAGCTTGCCTTCTCTGATGAATCTCTTTTGGGGTGACACCTTCTGCTGTCAAGGATTCAGTGACCACACGTTGCTTAAGTCGCACTGACCGACCATCTGCACAGGGGTCTATACTTCGCACTTTAAAAACACAACTGTTCAAAACTAAGGATTCCCGCCAAATTGCAACTGTAGAGGAGAGTCTACTGAACAAGCCAGTACCTGCCGCATACCAGTACTGCCATCTGTTGAGGAGTTATGAAGGTGGAGGCATTACTTTTCATTCAACCCTCGTATAATAAAAACCTCCATTTGGGGCCGAAGGTGTTTGCCCTATTGGCTCATGTCTATTCCCTTGTGTTGGCTTACTCTAATGCTAATGTTCACCAAGCAAGTGGCCGGGCATCATTTGGAAGCTCGCCATCTGTGATGAACATCGGCTGCAAGCGCATACTGTAGCAACCCACTCGCGCACTGTGTGCGCTGCGGCAGGTGTTCCATTACCCTCGAACCCTCCTATGATTTCACATTATAACTGTTTGATCTTTAAGCGAGTTTGGGGTGGAATGTTTAGCACAGCAAGGTTGATTTAATGCTGCTGTCTCCTTGGCTTATAGGCTGCCTTTTCATTGTTAATTAATTGTTCTTGCTCAGTATCCTTCTCTCTCCCCGCCCTGGTTGCTTTCATCTTTTTCGGAAACTGTTGAGCGAATGTACAGCTGGCACTCCGGGAATTATGATGTGCTATTACTGGGATCACTTGACAAGGTTTTTAATTGCAGTTGCTTCTTCTCCTTCTTGGAGGAAGAAAAAAAAAAGAAGCATTTCCATGAATAAGGCACAAAATGCACAGATCCAGGTAAACTCACACAGAATATTATTTACACGATATCGTCATTACCGGCATGACTTTGGAGAAACCACACGCTAAGTATACTGTCCGCACAATTGTGACATTTGTCATGGACAGATCCTGCCAGGCCAATTGGTGTTTCATTCTGTTGGAAATGCAGTACTACTCCATATTTATTGCTCCCTCTTCTCTCTCTCTCTCTTTCTCAGGATCTACACTGCACGGTTATAGCACTTCGATAACACTGGGATGAGTAATTTGGGAAGAGACGTAGAATGCTTTAGTGTACTTTCTCAAGCAACAGCATTAGTGTTGTCTTGCAGGTAATTCTGAGTACAAGAGACTACAAATCCCAGGATTTTCTATAATGGAACAATGGTAGTTAACATGATATGGAACTACAAGATGAGCATCCTTTATCCAAAAATCGGAAATAGTCTAAAATCCAAAATTGCCTATATAATGCTTGAGACCGTTGCTTTCTGATGGTTTAATGGAGACCTGATGGCACAATGAGTTAAACCTTTGTGCCAGCAGGACTGCTGACTGACAGATCAGTGGAGAGTGGGTTGAGCTCCCTCTGTCAGCTCCAGCTCCCCATGCAGGGACATGAGAGAGGCCTCGCACAAGGATGGTAAAACATCAAACATCCGGACATCCCCTGAGCAGCGTCCTTGCAAATGGCCAATTCTCTCAGGCCAGTAGCAACTTGCAGTTTCTCAAGTTGCTCCTGACATGAAAAAAAATGTAGACAAGCTTTGTTTCATGCACAAAATTATTTAAAATATTGCATAAAATTACTGTCAGGGTATGTGCATAAAGTGTACATGAAACGTACATTAATTTGGTATATAGACTTTGTCCCATTCCAAGATATCTCATTATGCACATATATGTAAATACAGGTTTTCCAAAAACAAAACCCCAAAGGAATAAACACTTCTGGTCCAAAGTTGGAATGCTCAACCTATGCTAAAATTGTGCAGTGTGGATCCACCCATAGTCTCTCTGATCCAAACATTACTGACATACGTTCTACATCTAAAGTTCAAGTTGAGCAGGTGATAGTGTGAACAGTCTCTGGAGATGCAGAGAGGTATACGTTCCCTTTGACTTGAGCTCAGCTTTTGTGCGTGGTGTATGTGGTGCCAAGAGACAACCGGTTGGTTTTACTCTTTTGTTTCCCATTAGGAAAAGACTGCTGGGTGGATGATCCTACCCTTCTTGCTGTTGGTGGGTTGCCACCACTATCTGGAAAATAGGTTTTGTTATCCATTTGTCTTTCCTGCTACGGAATGTCTTACTACCTTTTTGTTACTATTCTTTGCTCTTTGCTTATTCTGTCTCATTCAGATATCTAAGAAAATATTTTTGTACCATATTAGGTGGGGCCAAGGAAAGGAGATTCCACCTGAACATTAGGAAGAACTTCCTAACTGTGAGAGCTGTTCAGCAGTGGAACTCTCTGCCTCGGAGTGTGGTGGAGGCTCCTTCTTTGGAGGCTTTTAAGCAGAGGCTGGATGGCCATCTGTCGGGGGTGTTTTGAATGTGTTTTTTTTTTTGCTTCTTGGCAGGGAGTTGGACTGGATGGCCCATGAGGTCTCTTCCAACTCAATGATTCTATGACTATGACAAGAATTGTTCCTGTCTTGGGCAAAGAATAGAGAGCGCTAGCAGCTCATCTTCAGCTTGGGCAGTAAATTGGGCAGTAAATGGTTGGGTATCAATAGAAATCCCATGAATGCTACATTTGGAATTTAGAAATCTGATTTCATGACAGCATGAGTTCAAACAAATACCTCCCAAAGCTTCAAATAGTACCTAATCGCTGCCTTGTGCCAAAATCTGTACACAAGATCCATAATGTGCTTCATGGAAAAGCATCTGGATTGGAGGCAGGAGGTTGTTCGGTCATGCTCAAATGTAAACATCTCAATAACTTCAAGGATGCAATGAGTCTGAATACCCTCCTCACTTTTGTGGCTCATTCACACCCACACTTCCCCACCCCATGCACACACACACACACGCACACACAACCCACTGCTTTTTATCTGCATCATAAACAAAATGTCATCCTTTGGAGGAAAATAAAAATGCTACAGTTGGAGTACAGATCAAAGTTCAGCAAGTTGCTTATTAACCAACATACTTGTTGAGACATTATCATTTTCTGACATTTGTGCAAGAGGCAAGGCGAATGCATACATATTAAAATGTTCACATTTCATGGGAAGACTACACATTATGGCAGTCTAAAAATGAACCCCATTTTATCTTTATTATTATTATTATTTTCAAGTATTTTTGCTGACAGATCCTCTTTTTTCCTCCCCTCTTTCCTCCCCAAGGTCTTTGAACGGCTCTCCAGAACCGTCCAAGCGTCCCTTTCCCCTTTGTGCTACATGTCTCCTCGGCTCCAAACAAAAGAAAAGCAATGGCCAGCACCTTCCTTTGTTTTTAATAGGTTTAGCAAGTTGGGTCTTGCCGGAGGCCGGGCACGTGGCGGAACAAGATGTCGCTGGAGTTAAAAGAGCATCTTTGGCCGCTTGTTCTCTTTGCCGGTGACAAGCGAGTCTCTGTTTTCATGTCCCTTCTGCGACAACTTCCCACAGCCCTTGATCAGAAAAGGCAAGTCTTAGTAGGTGTACTTGTTCAGCGGTCTGACTGAAGGTGTTTGAGGAACAAACGAGGGTTTAGGCGGCACGTCCGGTTTTAAGGAGGGTGTCCTCTTTATGCCTGTCCGAGGGAGCGTCCCATTGCTTGTGTAACTGCTTTGCCTCGACAAGGAAGGCTGTAGGTGGACACTCACCGGCGTCCCTTGCATGTAGTCCATCTTTGTGCCCATCGTGGGAGTCATATAGCCTCCCCGGTTCATACTGGGCTGCCTGGATAACAGCACACCGTTGGGCGAGTTTAAGTTTTTAGGGAGGGCTGATATAGAATGCCGCTGGGAGGAATTTTTGTGGTAGCCCCTTTGTCGTTCCAAAGAGGTCATGGGGACGGCAGGCGTTGAAGGGACGTCCACACGTTTGGTTGGACTGTTTCGCGGGAGGGTGGACGGAGGAGAATACAAAGAGGCTTCCCTGTTCGGAACTTTCGGAGGGATCTCGGTCATGTTTCCCATGGGATCCAGCATTAAAGTCTGGTGAGCCACTTGGATGTCGCCCATAATGGCTTTTGGGTTGTTCGGGGCATCATTTAAGTGTTTCAGGAAGTCGTTCAAGGTGTTCCTGGAATCGACAGACCTCCGGTGGTCTCTTTTGCTTGAGGACTTTGTCAGCGGGTGGTCCACGTTTTGCATCTTTTTGTCAGCTTTGTGCGCATTGGAATTGGAGAAGGACATGTTGTAATCGTGAGTGGCGTTGGGAAGAACAATTGCACTAGGGATGTGTCCATGACTCAAAGGAGAATGTGGTGGGGGGCTGGATGGAAAAAACTGAGGACTCTTGAGAGGTGTCTCTTTTCTAGAAGCACTGAGGTTGTTTTGGGCTTTGTCCATTTGACTTTTCATGGCCTGTAAAGTCTTCTGCTGGAGCACTGGGGTTGATTCCGGAGTTGGAAGAGCTGCCAATTCTGGTGGTTGGCCTCTGTGGTCCACCATCATCATCGACTTTGTGTCAGCAGTAGGTGGCAACTCCTTTCGACTTGTCAACAAATTCGAATACAACTTGGGCGAGTCAATATTCTGTTGATACTCCTTGACGGGGCTATCAAATAGACCATTCAGTTTGGCAAAACTTCCGCTTGAGTCCGTACAAGACTGAGCGGATTCAGCATCTTTGTGGATCTTCCTGGACTTTCTCACAAACATATCCCGGTAACAATATACAGCCACTCCTGCAATAAAGGCTCCCAGAAGGAAAGCGGCAAAGACACAAGTAATGAGGACATTCATGTGTACCATTTGGTTGGACTCGCCTGATTGGACTTCCCACCTTACACCTACAACAAACATACATATTGATAGATTAGAACATGTTTTATGTTGGACGACAACATCATCAGAATCAAACCTTATCTCCTTTAGTATTCAGAAGAGAGACTTAACACCTCAAATTTGCACAGTAGTGTGGAAATTGTGTGTCTGACTTGGGCGCACTCTACAAAGATTTATCTCCTGAGCCTCTTGCTCTTGCGAAAGCTAAACATGAATATCAAGCAATTCCTGACAAGTATGGAAACATTTTCAGCCAATTCATGTTTCTAGGGCCACTGTCTGGAATGATTCATACATTGTGTCCAATTCTGGTCACCACAACTGAAGGGAGATATTGACAAGCTGGAATGTGTCCAGAGGAAGGCAACTAAAATGATCAAGGGTCTGGAAAACAAGCCCTATGAGGAGCGGCTTAAAGAGCTGGGCATGTTTAGCCTGCAGAAGAGAAGGCTGAGAGGAGACATGATAGCCATGTAGAAGTATGTGAGAGGAAGTCATAGGGAGGAGGGAGCAAGCTTTTTCTGTTACCCTGGAGACTAGGGTGTGGAACAATGGCTTCAAACTGCAAGAATGGAGATTCCATCTGAACATGAGAAAAAACTCTAACATTATAACAGTAAAACAACACTAAAAAAAAGGGGAATTCCAGACAAGAAACAATCAGGGCCAGCTAATCACCTCCCAACAAAGGATTCCCCCAGGCAGTAAGAAGCCAGACCTTGAAACTGCTAAGCTATTCAGTGCTAATCAAGGTGGCCAAGTGAAACATTCACACCTACCTCAAACAGACAAGGGTTCTTTCTCCCACCCTGGATATTCCACAGATATAGGGTTAGATAAAGGTTTCCCCCTGACATTACATCCAACCATGTCTGACTCTGGGGGTTGGTGTTCATCTCCATTTCTAAGCTGAAGAGCCAGCATTGTCCGTAGACACCTCCAAGGTCATGTGGCCAGCATGACTGCAAGGAGTGCCAGAGTGGTACCTATTGACCTATTCACATTTGCATTTGCTAGGCTGACAGCGGAAGCTCACACCGCTCGCTGTATTCGAACCTGCGACCTTTCGGTCAACAAGTTTAGCGGCTCAGCGGTTTAACCCACTGCGCCACTGGGGGCCACAGTTATATAAACCTAGTTTCCAACAGACTTCACAACCTCTGAGGACTCCTGCCATAGATGTGGGCAAAATGTCAGGAGAGAATGCTTCTGGAACATGGCCAGACAGCCTGGAAAAATTACCACAAAGCTTCATTATTTTCTTTGGTAAAGAAAAGCAATGCTTGCTTGTGTGAGTGAGTGGATGGTGTACACCAAGCACAGGCAAACTTGGGCCCTCCAGGTGTTTTGGACTTCAACTCCCACAATTCCTAACAGCCATAGGCTGTTAGGAATTGTGGGAGTTGAAGTCCAAAACACCTGGAGGGCCCAAGTTTGCCTGTGCTTGGTGTACAATCAGCTCTCCAGTTTCTGTAAGTTAGAGACACAGGAACCCAGGAAAGTGGAAAAAAAACAAAGATGCTCTCCTTCCATTCTAGGTAATGGCTTCCCAAACTAGACGGACCCACAAGCACAGAAAGACTCTACATTTTTTTGCTAAGAGGGCAAACCTATATGTGCTGAAGGGTATGCAGATCTGAGCTGTGCGTGCATGTGTTATAATGCTATACTCTTCCTTCTCTCAGTCCCCAAATTTCCCTTTAAGACTCACAAATAGTAGCTTGTATGTTATTAACTTTAACGATTTCTGCTGGAAAATTGAGGTGAGAAGGTGCCACTCTGCAAGCCTGCAATTAATAACTCATGGATGGATTTCTCTCTCAATTCCCTGCCTGACTCATAAATCAGAATCAGAAGTGAGATGGGATTATGCAAATAACATGTAAAACTGTGTAATGCCCACACTGCATTGTCAGAACTACGTTAATTCCCCTTCCCCTGCCCCCAACACAAAATGAATTCTATTTTTTTTCAAATTTTTAGGAATGGCATACTCTGCATTTTTTAAAAAAAGCCAAGAGTCACCTATCTGCATTTGAATCAGCAATGGACATTTGGATAAGAAGGTAACTTTAAAACCATGCAGCTAATGAAAGATATTAGTGTTTGTATAGTCTAGAACAGTGTTTCTCAACCTTCCTAATGCCACGACCCCTTAATACAGTTCCTCAAGTTGTGGTGACCCCCAATCATAACATTGTTTTTGTTGCTACTTCATACTGTTATGAATCGTAATGCAAATACCTGATATGCAGGATGTATTTTCATTCACTTAACCAAATTTCGCACAAATACCCAATATCTATCTATCTATCTATCTATCTATCTATCTATCTATCTGCAAGTTGCTTCTGGTGTGAGAGAATTGGCCGTCTGCAAGGATGTTGCCCAGGGGACACCCGGATGTTTTTGATGTTTTACCACCCTTGTGTCTCCGCATGGGGAGCTGGAGCTGATAGAGGGAGCTCATCCGCTCATCCCCGAATTAGAACCTGTGACCTATCGGTCTTCAGTCCTGCCAGCACAGGAGTTTAATCCACTGCACCACCGGGAGCTCCCGGTGCCCAATATGCCCAAATTTGAACACTGGTGGGGTTGAGGGGGGATTGATTCTGTCATTTGGGAGTTGTAGTTGCTGGGATTTATAGTTACGCTACAATCAAAGAGCATTCTGAACTCCATCAATGATAGAATTGGACCGAATTTGGCACACAGAACTCCCATGACCAACAGAAAATACTAGAAGGATTTGCTGAGCATTGGCCTTGAGTTTTGGAGTTATAGTTCACATACATCCAGAGAGCAAACAAGGATATATCTGGACCAAACTTGGCAAAAATACTCAATATGCCCAAATGTGGACACTGGTGGAGTTTGGGAAAAACAGACCTTGACATTTGGGAGTTGTAGTTGCTGGGATTTATAGTTTGCCTACAATCAAAGAGCATTCTGAACCCCATCACTTGATAGAATTCGGCCAAACTTCTCACACAGAATTCCCATGCCTTGAAGGAAATTGCTGGTGTGAGCAGCCTCACATGCTCTCCCTTGCCCACACATGTGCACCACGCTGTCATGTGTGAAGCAGGCCTGCCAATCACAGCAGAGGAGGGCTTTTGGTGGGAGGATTCTCCTTCTATTTCCAAAAAGGAAGAGAAGGACAGGCGGAGAGATCTTCAGCTGTCTCTGCCAAAGGTGTTCCTAAGACCATCGGAAATAAGTGTTTTCTGATGGTCTTTGGCGACCCCTCTGAAACCCCTTTGCAACCCCCTCAGGGGTCCCGACCCCCAGGTTGAGAAACACTGGTCTAGAATAAATTGAATTTCCACTTAGAAGAGGAAGAAGAGGAAAAAGAACAAAGGCGGAGTTAATTTTGCGATGCACCTATTCTATGTTTGCGAATTTTCCCCAAAAGTTTGGTTTTTATTTTAAAGCAACCACAGACAATGTGCTGTTAAGCAAATGTTAGTTTGGCAAAAGGCATCTAATTGTGCTATTCCGCATAGGAGGAAAGTGGAAATATAGAAAAGTGCCAAAGTTGTTGGCGTCTTTTTGTATGTGTGTGTGTGTGTTAAAGAGGCAAGGCCTTAGACGAGAGTTAAATGTTCTGGGTTATTGGTTTTAATGGCTCGTGCAGAAGGAGGAAAAGGAGGAAAGGACCGAGGCGGCTTGCTGCGGGAAATGTCACAGAGGGTGACTGAGGGCGTGTGAGCAAGATCTGGACAAACGTGGACTGGTTTTAAAGGACAACCAAGCGATAAAACACCTGAAGCAAAATTACAAATGTGCTGCCGAAGGAAACCTGATACGTTTCAGCGGGTAATAAAACACAAAAAGGTTTGCAGATGACTTTTGAGTCTGAAAACGAGGAACGGAAAAGGAAAGTAAAAGAGACAGGCTTCGGGGAACATCTTTCCAAAAAGGGTGTGAAAAACGAGCCAGTGGTGTGATCTCTGTTCAGACATGAAGCCTCCTGGATGACCTTGCGCCACGTTCTCTCTCTGCCTCTCTCTCTCTCTCGATTTCTGTGCCAAGTTTCTCTCTGAGTAGTTGTGCAGATGAAGTAGCTTATAGGATCATCAAGAACAATCCGGGGAAGTAAGTTAGTGAGTGAGAAAAGGTCAACCTTCACACAGTGGGCTTAATGGTTAAGGGGAGCATGCTTTGTCTAAGTCAGCCCAGGCTGTTCCATATCCTCCTGACAGATGTGGATCCTTGCTTCTTTCATTCTCACATGCAAGACTGGAAAAGTTCAGAAATCTCCCACTGGGTGAGAGTTTTTGTGAACTTTTTTTTGGATGATTCTTCACATTTCAGGACTGGAGAAGGGTGGAAGATTTGTATTGTCGAAGGCTTTCATGGCCGGAATCACTGGAGTGTTGGGAGTTTTCAAGGCTGAATGCTCATGTTCCAGAAGCATTCCCTCCTGACGTTTTGTCCACATCTATGGCAGGCATCCTCAGAGGTTGTGAGGTCTGTTGGAAGCTAGGAAAATGGCATTTATATATCTGGAATCGTAACAGTAAATAGAGAACAACACTCAAAAACAGGGGAATTCCAGACAAGAAACAATCAGGGCCAGCTAATCACCTCCCAGCAGTAAGAAGCCAGATCTTGAAACTGCTAGGCCATTAAATGCTAATCAAGGTGTTCAGTTGAAACATTCACACCTACCTCAAGGCAAGTGAGGTTCATACAACTATGAAATGTCCAGGGTGGGAGAAAGAACTCTTGTTCTAACACAACCTAACAAAGGATTCCCCCAGGCAGGAAGCAGTCAGGCTTTGAAGCTGCAAGGCCGTTCTGTTCTGATTAAGCTAGCTAATTGCAAAATTCACACCTGCCTCAAACACACAAGAGTTCTTTCTCCCACCCTGGACATTTCATAGTTGTATAAACCTCACTTACCTTGAGGTAGGTGTGAATGTTTCAACTGAACACTTTGATTAACATTTAATGGCATAGRAGTTWAAAGGTCTGGCTTCTTACTGCCTGGGGGAATCCTTTGTTGGGAGGTGATTAGCTGGCCCTGATTGTTTCTTGTCTGGAATTCCCCTGTTTTTGAGTGTTCTTTATTTACTGTTACGATTTTAAAGTTTTTTAAATACTGGCAGCCAGATTTAGTTCATTTTCATGGCTCCTTCCTTTCTGTTGAAATTGTCCAATGATATTCCACAGATATATAAACTCAATTTTCTTAGGTTGTTGTAGGTTTTTTGGGCTATATAGCCATGTTCTAGAAGCATTCTCTCCTGACATTTTGCCTGCATCTATGGCAAGCATCCTCAGAGGTTGCGAGATCTGAGGATGCTTGCCATAGATGCAGATAAAATGTCAGGAGAGAATGCTTCTAGAACATGGCCATATAGCCTGAAAAACCTACAACAACCCAATGATTCCAGCCATGAAAGCTTTTTGTCAATTTTCCTACTTTCCAAAAGACCTCACAACCTCTCAGGATGTCTGCCATAGATGCAGGTGAAACGTCAGGAGAGAATGCTTCTAGAACATGGCCATACAGCCTGGAAAAATTACAGCAACCTGCTGGAAGATTTGTTTTTATGAGAAAAAAGATATGATAGGAAATATATTTCTGGTGTGTAGCTAACTTACACATGTGGCATGGAAGATGGCCATTTCTGAATCAGTAGAGAGTGGGGTCATCAGAAGCATCCAGGTATTTCCCTTTAGCTGGAAACACCATGACAGACATTCTCAGAGATCTCATAGAGGTCCTCAGGAAGCCCCTGAAGGTGTTAGTATTACTGTGCATCAAGCGCAACAATTGGTGGTGCTCTTCCACTCTTCTATACTATCCAACAACAAAGGATCCTTTGGAGGATATTAATACTATTCATCCAGCTATAGCAGTGGTTCCCATTCTGAGGGTGCCCAGATGTTTTGGCCTTCAACTCTCAGAACTCCTAACAGCAGGTAAACTGGCTGAGATTTCTGGGAGTTGTAGGCCAAAACACCTGGGGACCCACAGGTTGAGAACCACTGAGCTATAGAAAAATAGCACAAAACTTTTTGGACACTCCACTCTCTATCAAAGCTGAAATTGCTAAGTTTGGGGACCCACATGCATTGGACATAGACTCCGGAAACTATATCTCATAGCTACCTCTTCCAATGTAGGAATGTGGACAAAACACTGACCAAGATCCTGCACTGGACATGTAGTTATGATGCTCAATTGCCAGACTTCCAAGTTTGTCTGTGTTTCTTCAAGTTGCCTGTTAACTCATGACAACCTCATGAATTTCCTAGGGTTATCTTAGGCAAAGAATACTCAGAGATACTCCTTCCTCTGATACAAAGCCAACAGGAACTTGTTGGTGGGCTCTAATCCAAGGACTAAGTTGATCTTGCTTAACTTTCAAGATCAGGTGGGATTGAAGACCCAACTTAAAATCTAGGAAGCCATCATGAGAGACAGTTCTGAGAGTGGCAGTGCAATAAGCAAAAGGGGGACCTTTGTGGGTCCTGTGACAATTACTTGTCACATTGTAGTTTGCTGGTGGGAAGGAGTGAGATACATCATCCTTCAATGTCCCACTTGCCAGTGCCACAAATACCATCCCTTAATATGGATGCTTGGATTTTAAGGTGGGAATGTGCCACAATCATCAACAACACCGAACGGTCGCATTGATATAAGTCTAGCTTATGACCTATCTAATACAATGCTAGCTATTATTGTTTCCCACTGCAGCAAAACAGAGAGACTTGCGCAAGGTCACTCAGTAGGTTTCCATGGCTGAGCGGAGTCGTATCCAACATTCAAATTGCTAGACCATGCTGAGCAAGTCCACTTGAACTCAATGGAATTTACTTCTGACCAGACATGCACAAGATTCTACTGGAAAATAATATAATATAATATAATATATTTATTTATTTACAACATTTCTTTTCCGCCCATATCAGCCCGAAGGCGATATAATATTTATTATAATGTAATACAATATAATACTACTACTAATAATAATATTATAATATGACATTATAATTAAATATTTTTATTACATGTAATATTACTAATAATATTACAATATAATGGTATAGTACAATATAGTAATATATAATACTGATATTGTACTAAACTAATAATATAATATATTGTATGTGTATATATAATATTTATTATAATGTAATACAATATAATACTACTACTAATAATAATATTATAATATGATATAATTAAATATTTTATATTACATGTAAGATTACTAATAATATTGCAATATAATGGTATAGTACAATATAGTAATATATAATACTGATCTTGTACTAAACTAATTATATAATATATTGTATGTGTGTATATATATATATATATATATATATATATATATATATACACACACACACACACACACACACACACACACACACACACACATATACACACACACACATATATATCTTGTAAGCCGCTCTGAGTCCCTTTCGGGGTGAGAAAGGCGGCATATAAATGTTGTAAATAAATAAATAAATAAATTTATATGCAAGCAAACCAACGCGCCCAAGTCCTGTGGATTTTGACTTGAGCTGAGAGGTGGAGCGAGGAGACTAGAGCAGAGCAGCAATGGTGTGTTACAACTCTTTGAACAACTCATCTTGCTTCTCTTGATTCCTCAAGTTCTCCATCTTCCCTCTCCTTTGGGCCAACGAGGAACAAGAGATACATAATTGCACCTTTTGTTCTATATGCAGACGATACCGCACACACATTTAGCCGAGATGGAACATTTGAATGTAACTACTGAAGCGATCAGGTTTCCTTTCAGCCATAATATATTCCCTGGTCAGGCCTTACCCTTTGGGACCCCTGATAATGGGTCAGAGTAATCAGAAGTGTTTGGGTCATCTTGAGCTACAAATTTCCGAGAGCCAGTCACTTTAGGTTTCCAGGAACCAATCACTTTGGGTGAGATAACAGGGATACTTCCCACTGTGGTAAGAGAAGTTGAGGATAACTCCATGTCTGTGATGGCAAACAGATTTTTATTAATGTGCATCGCAATCTGATTTTTTTTTAAAAAAATAATTATAATTATAAATGTTTGGTGTGCATTATTTTTTTATCAACAGGTGTGTTTGCTTTGTGATAGTTAACATACTTTTGGAAAAGATTCTTAAAGAGAAATACATTAGAAAGAAAACACAACAAGCACGGACTAATGTGATTGTTGCATACTATTTCTGCTTTGAATAGGAGGGAGGAAAAAAAACAGAATCAATTCACAAACAAGAGTGTGTAGAACTGCAGTTTCTAACTTGAAATTGCATTCAAACTCCCAGGAACTCAATTTCACTCAGGGTGCATTTACACTGTAGAACAAGCATGGGCAAACTTTGGCCCTCCAGGTGTTTTGGACTTCAACTCCCACAATTCCTAACAGCCGGTCCTCAGGTCCTTTCTTTTTCCCTCTCAGCTGTTTAAGCTGAGTGCTGGTCCCATAACCCATGTTAAGGCTCTGTTGCCTGTGTGGTGTGCAAGGAAGCTAAATCTACAGCAGACATGGGCAAACTTTGGCCCTCCCTCCAGGTGTTTTGGACTTCGACTCTCACAATTCCTAACAGCCTCAGGCCCTTTCCTTTCCCCACTCATCTGTTTAAGCTGAGTTCTGGGCCCATAACCCATGTTAAGGCTCTGTTGCCTGTGTGGAGTGCAAGGAAGCTTCCTCTACAGCAGGCATGGACAAACTTTGGCCCTCCATCCAGGTATTTTGGACTTCAACTCCCACAATTCCTAACAGCCTCAGCCCTTTCCTTTTCCTCTTCATCTGCTTAAGCTGAGTGCTGGGCCCATAACCCATGTTAGATTGTGTTGCCTTTGTGGAGTGCAAGGAAGCTTCATCTACAGCAGGCATGGACAAACTTCGGACCTCCCTCCAGGTGTTTTGGACTTCGATTCCCACAATTCCTAACATACTCAGCCCTTTCCTTAAGCTGAGTGCTGGGCCCATAATCCATGTTAAGGCTCTGTTGCCTGTGTGGAGTGCAAGGAAGCTTCATCTACAGCAGGCATGGGCAAACTTAGGCCCTCCCTCCAGGTGTTTTGGACTTTGACTCCCATAATTCCTAGCAGCCTCAGGCCCTTTCCTTCCCTCTCCCTCAGCTGCTTAAGCTGAATGCTGGGCCCATAACCCATGTTAAGGCTCTGTTGCCTGTGTGGAGTGCAAGGAAGCTTCATCTACAGCAGGCATGGGCAAACTTTGGCCCTCTATCCAGGTGTTTTGGACTTCAACTCCCACAGTTCCTAACAGTCGATGCTTGGACCCCTTCCTTTTCCCCCTCAGCCGCTTAAGCTGAGTGCTGGGCCCATAACCCATGTTAGGTGGTGTTGCCTGTATGGAGTGCAAGGAAGCTTAATCTACAGCAGGCATGGGCAAACTTCGGCCCTCCCTCCAGGTGTTTTGGACTTTGACTCCCACAATTCCTAACAGCCTCAGCCCTTTCCTTAAGCTGAGTGCTGGGCCCATAACCCATGTTAGGTTTTGTTGCCTGTGTGGAATGCAAGGAAGCTTCAATTACAGCAGGCATGGGCAAACTTCAGCCCTCCCTCAAGGTGTTTTGGACTTTGACTTCCACAATTCCCAACAGCCTGAGGCCCTTTCCTTTTCCGCACAGGCATTCTGCACAGGCAACAGACCTAACATTGGTTATGGGCCCAGCACTCAGCTTAAGCAGCTGAGGGGGAAAAGGAAGGGGCCTGAGGCTGTTAGGAATTGTGGAAGTCTAAGTCCAAAACACCTGGAGAGAGGGTCAAAGTTTGCCCATGCCTGCTGTAGAATTATGCCAAACTGGTACGACTTTAACTGTAATGGCTCAGTGCTATGGGATCATGGGAGCTGTAGTTTGGTGAAGCACCGGCACTCTGGCAGTCAATAGCATTGATCCATGACACTTAAAGTGGACACATTTCTTTTTTCCTCTCCTTTCCTTCTTCCTTCTTAACTCTGCAAGAATTTGCTTCCCAAGCTGGAATGTGAGCGTGAGTTATACAATCCTTCATGTTTCTGCATGCACCAATTGCTTGTGAGTATTGCATACTTATGAAATACAGTGGATCTGATTATGAAAAGGGGATGAAATCTGCAGGAGTAATTTCCTGTACTATGTTATTCTAAATACTTTGTTCTGCATGGTGGTACATTACACATAATGTTCTGAACTACAGGAATGGAGCGAGGGAGTTTAGGGTTTTTTTCCTCCCAGATTTGGAGGAGGTTGGGGCATTGAAGGTTGTGAATCTTTCACACAAAATTATTTGCGATGCTAATAAGTCTGAATCTTTCTACTGCAAGGGTTATTCTTTGATTGTTTTCCTTTGAATGACTGCTGGTCAAAGAAAAGTTGGAGACTAAGCATTTACCGTATATACCAGAGTATAAGCCAACCAGAATATAAGCGAAGGCATCTAGTTTTGCCACAAAAAAAACTTGGGAAAACATATTGACTCAAGTATATGCGGAGGGTGGGAACATGGCCAAACAGCCTGGAAAACTCACAGCAACCCAAATCTAGAAATGTTTGTTGATCAAATATCCTACTTATTCAGTTACAGAATTGCAAATAGTATCAGACACTAAATAAAAAGCTATGTTGTTGAGTTATCAACAAATCCTATGAAAATGGTCATTGGCAGACAGCATTAATGGGAAAGCAGAAGGAGACATTCAGGTAGGACAAACCCTGTGCTTGGTTATACTCTCATTGAAATCCAATGTGGGATTTTGCCTTTCTAAGTTCAAAACAGCAACAGTCAAGTCATTTAGGATAGAGTCAGGATGAAATGCTGCAACATAGGAAGAGAGGGGCATTGATGTCTCTGCTAAAACAAGGCTGCAAAGCTTCAGTTTTGAAGCTGGATTGCAGGATAATGCTCTACTATCAGCTATCATGCTGCCATCTAAAAGGCCGATCACGGTTGGTGAGCAATTGAGGTCGTCTTCAGTCTCTGGTTTATATAAATGTTCTCTAGCCGAGTGAAAGCCTAGGTCTGTCTGAAAGTGAGAACATTAATGGACGTCAGCTTCCATCAGTCCCAGGCATACTAGCCAAAGTCTTGAATGAGATAAGTTGCAGTCCAACAATGGCCAAAGGGTCACAAAAAGGCAAGACTGGAACAAATAGTTTTCCATCTGATAGAGAAAGTGTAAGACCCTAGTAAAGGTAAAGGTTTCCCCTTGACATTAAGTCTAATTGAGTCCAACTCTGGGTGGTGGTGCTCATCTCCATTTCTAAGCCAAAGAGCCAGTGTTGTCCATAGACACCTCCAAGTTCATGTGGACAGCATGACTGCATGGAGCGCCATTACCTTCCTGCCGGAGTGGTACCTATTGATCTACTCACATGTGCATATTTTTGAACTGTTAGGTTGGCAGAAGCTGGGGCTAATAGCGGGAGCTCACTCCTCTCCCTGGATTTGAACCACAAAACTTTCAGTCAGCAAGTTCAGCAACTCAGCAGTTTAACCTGCTGCGCCACCAGGGACTCTAGGTTGGTCTATATAATATTTTTGAACTATAAGGTTGGCAGAAGCTGGGATTAACAGCAGGAGCTCACTCTGCTCCCTGGATTTGAACCACCAACCTTTCAGTCAGCAAGTTCAGCAACTCAGCAGTTTAACCTGCTGTGCAACCAGGGACTCTAGGTCTATATCATATTTTTGAACTCTTAGGTTGGCGGAAGCTGGGGCTAACAGCAGGAGCTTACCCTACTCTCCATATTCGAACCACCAACCTTTCAGTCAGCAACTTCAGCAGTTCAGCAGTTTAACCTGCTGCGCCACCGGGGACTCTAGCTTGGTCTATATCATATTTTTGAACTGTTAGGTTGGCAGAAGCTGGGGCTAACAGCGGGAGCTCACTCTGCTCCCTGGATTTGAACCACCAACCTTTCAGTCAGCAAGTTCAGCAGCTCAGCAGTTTAACCTGCTGTGCCACCAGGGACTCTAGGTTGGTCTATATCATATTTTTGAACTGTTAGGTTGGCAGAAGCTGGGGCTAACAACAGGAGCTCACCCTGCTCCCCAGATTTGAACCACCAACCTTTCAGTCAGCAACTTCAGCAATTCAGCAGTTTAACCTGCTGCACCACCAGGGACCCTAGGTTGCCTAGTTTACAACAGACCTTACAACAGGATGCCTGCCATAGAAGTGGGCAAAACATCAAGAGAGAATGCTTCTGGAACCATACAGCCCAGAAAACTCACAACAACTCTTGGATTGTTTGTTTGATGCTTTTTAAAACAACTTTCAAACTCCATACATTTTAATTGTTTTGTTTGAACTTGTATTGTATGCTGCTTTGAATCCCATTTGCAAGAAAGGCATGGTAATATTTTAATATTTTAAATGTATTTTAATGTATTTTTACTGTTGTTGACCTGTTGATGTTAATTGCTGTGTTGGAATTGTTCTTTGTTGGCATCTAATGATTGCCAATTGTAAGCCGCCCTGAGCCCCCCTTTGGGGGTGAGAAGGGAGGGGTAGAAATGGTGTAAACAAACAAATAAACAAACAAACAAACAAACAAACTCCGCATCTGTATGCTTGTCCACTATGCCCTGCCTCGTGTACAGAGGAACAATTGTTGGAGGCTACAGACAATGCTGTTGCTGTTGCCAGTTTTTGGTCAAAGGATATTTAGCCACCTGCGCTCCTTCTATTTTTATCAGTTTTATACTAATTTATGCTATGCTTTTGATTCGAAATAAATAAAATCCAACTAAAATGGGAGAAGGGAAGGCTGAACTGACATTCATATCAGCAGCTATAAGAGGCAGTGTATTCTTATAGTCATTGGCTCTTGGAGTTTTCTAAAAAAAAGTAGAATCACATATATAGTATATACAACGTCTAGAGTTGATGATGCTAAATGCAATTTATTAGCCTAAACCTTGAAGAAACCGACACGTTTCCAACACTTGAGAAATACGCATTTCAGGCAAATGTGTATTTGCTTTATAGATAATTGGAAGAGACAGCAGAGAGAGAAAGGGAGGGAGATGAAAAGGATCAGGCATCCATGTAATAAATAATGGCAGGAAGATGGGTAGCGTTTATGAATGCATGGCTGGAAAGAAAGGACGGGGAAACAGAACCGAGGCTCAGTGGGACCTTCATGCAGTGAGAATGCCATCGATGTGGATCAAGTTCTTCGGTTAACAAAAAGATGTTTCTCAGTCATGAGCTGTTATGCATGCAGCTAGGCAAGGTGGACAGTGCCACGTGAGTGAGAAAGTCCCGGCTGTATCTTGACCATCAGTGGGAAAATGAGGAAAAGCAGGAAAGCAAAAAACATGAGCACTTGCCAACTGCGCCAAAGAAAGAAAGTTGGAGAGGTAAACGAATAAAGAAGTAAATAAATAACCAAAGAAAGAAAGGAAATTCTGAAAATGCCAAACGAAAAAAGGAAAGAAAAGCTTCATTAAATCGGGGAGAAAAAAAGTGATTGGAAAAAACTAACCAGATGTTGGATCGCCAAATATTTTGTAATCTGGTGTAGTTGTAGAAGGCAAAATTTCTAAAAGAATTAAAAGGAACACGTAATCAGTGAAAAGGAACCGAAAGGGAGGGGGAAAAAAGCAAAGGATTTTCAAAGCCGGAGCAACTGAAAATCAGGAAAAAAAAATTAAAATAAAACACAACTGGTTACCCAAACGGAAAAATCAAACAAAAGAAAAGGGAAAGAAAAAGTACCGATTTAATAACTTGGCTCTTGACCGTCACGAATAATCATGACGGTTGGGAGGAAAAAATGGCCGAAGGGCTCCACCACCCAAGATCAAGCAGCTGAGGGTTGTGCCAATTGCTATAACCGGAGAAGGGGAAGGGGGCTCGGTGCGAGGGGGTTCGCCCCACAAACAAAACCATGCCACATTCTCAAGTTGGCTTCGGAAGCCCACACTTACCATGGCATTCCCCTAGTTGGGCAGTGTTGCCATATTCCACATCTTGCTCATACCCTCCAACACTGTGGTTGTATGAAACAAACAAAGACAACCTGCAATTAACAGCATGGGTTGGGAAAACGTAATGGTGATAATCAAAGAGTCATACAAAGACATACAAAACAATGAAACAAAGCAAATCAATGTACATGCCCAGGTTATTAGCTACAAAGCCCTATATGCTTCAGGTCCATCCTATCTTTGAGACTGTATCTCTTTCTATGAACCGGTGTTGGTTTGCAATCAGCAAGGGAGGCCCTTCCCTCAGTCCCACCATCGTCTGAAGAGCCATTGGTGGGGACAAGAGAGAGGGCCTTCTCTGTAGTGGCTCCCTGGCTTTGGAATACTATCCTGAAAGAGATTAGATTAGCCCCCACCCTTGAATCTTTCCGATCCAGCCTAAAAACATGGATTTTTAAGCAGGCTTTTGGCCTCAAGTAGGCTAAAATGAACCCATATGAGGTTGACACTCTGGCACTTTCATTGGTGAATTGAGGGCAGCTACTTTTAACTACATATGGTTCTGCATTTTAAATTTTGATATTTTATTTTATGTGTTGATAGTGGTAGTTTTACAATTTTTATGTGATATTGTTTTATACTCATATATCATTTGTGTTACATACTTTTTTTCCATGTCAGGAATGACTTGATAAACTGCAAGTCACTTCTGATGTGAGATAATTGCCCGGTAGCAAGGATGCCCAGATGTTTTCATGTTTTACCTTCCTTGTGGGAGGCTTCTCTCATGTCCCCACATGGGGAGCTGGAGCTGACAGAGGGAGCTCATCCATGCTCTCCCCAGATTTGAACCTCTGACCTGTCGATCTTCAGTCCTACTGGCACAAGGACTTAACCCAGTGGTTCTCAACCTGGGGTCCCCAGATGTTTTTGGCCTCCAACTCCCAGAAATCCTAACAGCTGGTCAACTGGCTGGAATTTCTGGGAGTTGTAGGCCAAAAACATCTGGGGACCCCAGGTTGAGAACCACTGACTTAACCCACTGCGCCACCGGGGCTCCATGTTATATACTGCACTGCAGTGTTCTGTAAGCCACCCCGAGTCCCTTTTGGGAGATAGTGGTGGGATATACATATAGTTTATTATTATAATATTGATATCGTTATTACATTCTGTTCATTCATTATTTGAGGTGATGGATAATGGAGCCGGCATCAAGTACACCAGATATGAGCATCAATTTTTTAGAACCTGACTGGTTTGAATCAACCGCTGTGGCAGATGAACTTTGTTATAATGGTCTGTGCAACACAGTGTAGGTTTCATTGAATGGTGGTTGTCCAATTTAATACAATATATGGAGAGCACAGGTCAGTGTGACTCTTCACTCATTCAGGGGAATATTTCACTAAACCAGTGGTTCTGAAAGTGGTCCTCCAGCAATTTTGGACTTCAGCTCCCAAAAGCCCCAGACAGCTTGGCTAAAAGTCAGGAATTCCGAGAACCGAAGTCAAAAATGCTTGGAGGATCAAAGTTTGGGAATCACTGCACTATGTGCTCCTCCAAATTACCATTGATTCATACTTTTAATTGTCTCCCAATCAATCACTTGCCATGTGCTCAAGGTGGGGTTGTATCTAAAATATATCCAGAAGCTACAGTTAATGCAAAAGGCAACAGTCAGACTGTTGTTAAGAGAACATGTATCACAGTGGTTCTCAACCTGTGGATCAAGAGGTGTTTTGTCAATTCAATTCCCAGCAATCCTAACAGCTGGTAAACAGGCTGGGATTTCTGGGAGTTGTAGGCCAAAACACCTGGGAACCCACAGGTTGCGAACACACTGATATATTGCAAGCTTTCCACCAATTTCCCTGACTCCAGTAAGTTTTGGAACTCAACTCAAGGTGCTGATTTTGAGAAAGTCCTAAATTGTTTGGAACCTGGATGTATGAAAGACCACCACTTACAGAAGATGTAATCATCAACAGAGGCCAAGCTGTATCTCCCACAACAACCCCCCACAAAGGCTACAGAGGTTTAGTAAATGAGACAGGGCTTTCTTTTTAGCAGCATTTTGGTTATGGAACTCAGTTTAAAAGGAAAACAGGCTGACTCTTCCATGACAGGCAGAAAAGCCACACTGGTCCTTAAAAACAGATATTTGATCCTTGATATAGACTATTTTATTCAAATGGTGACCTCTTTCAAACACACTGGCTCATGCTTACATGTAAAATATATGAAAGGTGCATAATAATTTCAGCGGCTACTTACAACATGCTAGATTTTACTCTTCCGCAGGTGCCATGGTTCAACCAGCCGCAGTAAGGATCCCGGGAAGCAATGCAAGTCCTGTAGAAGGACAGCAGTGAACAAATTAATTCCCCCCTTAAAGCTTTGCACCATCTATTTGTATAGCCATGCTTGGAAGGAGAGGGCTTACTTTTTGCACGACCCATGACGCTCACAACGGCTGAGGGGGACTCTAATCACACAGCTGGAGAAGGCGACAAACAAAGCGTGGTGTTCTTTGTCCAGTTGCAGGGAAACAACTTTCTTGTCCTCTTCGCCATCCCCATTGCACCTGTTTGGCAGGAAGAATTTGGAAACTGGTACATCATTGAGCCCCTTTTAGTGCCTCACAACTCTGATTTTACATTGAATTTGAGCCACTATAATTTTTCATTAAAGTAATTGTTGGGGTTCAGTCTGAGTTTGAACTTGAACCTGATTCTCTGTTTGTTCCTCCTGATGCTAATGAAAATATATTTACTGATGCTAATGAAAATGTACCTTTGATGCCAATGCTCCTGAAATTAGTGAGGAAGAAACTGCTGTAGGTTTGGAAAATGCCAATGTTCCTGAAATTAGTGAGGAAGGAACTTCTGTAGATTTGGAAAATGAAAGTACCAGTGTTCATGAGAATGTTTCAGATGGAGACCTTGAACTTTCCCTCCCTTCTGCACCTGTTAACTGTAATGACAACAGAAGGGGCCAGATTTGGCAAGACAGAAGTAAATCACTCAGCTTGCGAAGGTCTTCCCGAATTAAAGAATTACAAACATTGGCTTCAAAGCAGAGGGGCGGTTCACCGAACCAATTCTTTGGCTTTAATTGCCTTCCGCCGGGCTGACTTTCCTAAGTTCAGGCATCGTTTCAGATTAATGAAGACCTTGGCAGTTCTCCCAGTTTCCCCTGGCCATGGTTTTGAAAGATTTCTAGGATATCAAGTACGGATAGTGGATCGCTAACAGGTTCCAGTATTTTACAGTGTGGCTTTGGGTTTTGCTTTGTCCATTTAAATTCATGTTTGCTGATTTTGCTGTGGCTTTTGACTTGCATTTTTCCTTTATTTTGTAATTATTTTTCTTCAATAAAAAAGGATTGTTTTTCACAGTCAAGTGTGGTGGATAGTTATCTTAGGGCCTCGTTCCCTGCTCTGGATTGCAACAGTAATGAGCAAAGAAGGTGGCAAAGTATCTTTAGTAGTGTTGTGTGTGGAATTCGTTTCTCCCTTTTCATCTGTTCTTTCGTTCCCTTCAGGAGCATGTAATGGGAAGTCCCCTCCCGGTACAAAAATCAGCTTGCCATGAAAGCAAATGGGAGCCAATCATCACCACCCCTCTCCTTTCGTGACCATGTAGCACTCCTAGCTTGACTGAGCTACAGGTCGTTGGCTCTTCCTTCCTTGGGGCTCCTTGAAATGAGCAGCCAAGAGCCAAGGAGCTCCCCTCCCCCCCCCCCAGCCTCTCTCTTGGGGAGATGGACCTGGCGCTGCTGGAGCCTGGATAAGGACAAACCGACAATCCCAAAAAGAGTGGTATCTTTAACCCTCCCAGGTCCAGCTTCCTACCCCACCAACATGGAAAACATTAGCATCAGCAACAGCCAAGCTTCCAGCTTGTGTTGGCACAGGGAGGGGAAGGGACCAAGGCTAAGTACATGCAGCCAAGGGCCAAGCTGCAACCTCCCCTTGCTCTCTCAGCCTCTTTCTCAGGGAGATGGACCCAGTGCCGCAGGAGCTTCAAAACCAAGCCACGTCTGCCTCTCTTCTAGAGTAGAACAGCTTTAAGAAGCATTAAACCCGGTCTCCTCCTCTACAAAGGGAAAGGAACCAGAAAGAGTGGTAACTCGGATGGTTTTTAAAATCCAGGTCGTAATGAAGGATATGGAAAGGGAACCTGTGGGAAGTCGTCCCCGTCCCTCCCATAATGGCCACTTTCTTAACCTGATCACTGACAACTAACTGTAAATTTTTGTGTTTTCATACATGGAACAAAAACATCAATCTGGAAACATGCCCGCTTTTGGGAGGTGAATGAAAACGGGGACGGGGATGGGGGCTTCCAGTTCAAATAAGCAGAAACGGATAGTCCTCCAGCGGTTGCTCCTGGCTATTAGCCATGTTGACTGGGATCAATGGAAGTTGGAGTCCAGCATCATCTGGAAGGTAACTTGACTTCTCTACATACAATCTTCACCCCTATATTGTGTGTGATGTGACACACCCTTTTCTGGTAAGGAAGCTACTAGTTAGTGTGCTTCAAAAGCCACCATATCATGTTTTGCGCCGATTGAAGAATATTTTGGATTTTGTTTTATTTTGTTGGGCAGCTGGGGCAGCTACTCCCCACTGTTCCAATTTGGCAGGGACAGTCCTAATTAATCCTCTGCCATCCCACTATTTAGTCGCTTTTAACATGCCCCATTTTATCTCTCTTCTTCCCACTTCCCCACATTTGTTTGCAACTTATTTCCATTGCTGCAAACTAAAATCAAAGCACATAAATAGTTTGCACTAAATTAATTGGGCAAATTGTAGTTTTATATTTCAGCCTTCTCTGTCAAAGTGTGCTGGTGCCTCACCAACCCCCCCCCCCAATTATTCCACAGCACTGAGCTACAGAAAAGTGGTGTTAAACTGCATTAATTCTACAGTGTACATGGATTTTCAGTGAGGCATGTGCAAGAAGCCAAAAGGGGAATCAAGACGCACTGCCTGCTTAATGCAGGCACACATGTATTTTCAGACTGCTCAAACATAAATGCATGTGAACACCAGGGAACACTAGACAAAGTATAGTGAGAGGTAGTGGGATGAGAAGGAGGCAATTCTTAAAGAGCAGGAATGACTCAAACGAGACAGGCATTGTAAAATGCCTCGAACAGTTTCCACAAAGGAATACCTACTTTGCATGATTGTAGGCATCAATCTCTTCCAGTAGCACGCTGTCGTTCAAAGAAAAAGGTTTGGTCTTTGCCAAAATTTTAAGTACCATTCCAGCTTCGGAGCCGACAAAGATGACTGTGTAGTTCTGATAGGGGCCGGCAGAGCGGTCCACGGCGACGGCGGTCAAGCGATACCTGCCAAGACCAAGACATCTTATGCAAGAGTTTCTCTGCCCATCTGTCAATCTCACCTTCTCACTCTACATCCTTTGGCCAGTGTGGGCGGGATGGCCATAAAAAACAGAGGATCTTTCTGCTAGGAAACACCTACTCAAATTACTCTTTCACTTGCTTACGGAAGGGAGAAGCATCACTCTTCTGCCCACTGGGAGGAGGGAGAATCCACCTTATACTAGTATAGGTTGAACATCTCTTATCTGAAATGCCTAGAACAATGTTTCTCAACCTTCCTAATGCTGTGACCCCTTAATGATGTGGTGACCCCTAACCATAAAATTATTGTTGTTGATAGTTCATAGCTAATTTTGCTACTGTTATGAATTGCAATGTAAATATCAGAGATGCAGGACGTATTTTCATTCACTGGATCACCCATGACTTCAGAAACTGCCCAGGGGAAGCCCGGATGTTTTTGATGTTTTATCATCCTTGTGGGAGGCTTCTCTCATGTCCCCGCATGAGGAGCTGGAGCTGATAGAGGGAGCTCATCCGTGCTCTCCCCAGATTTGAACCTGTGACCTGTCGGTCTTCAGTCCTGCCGGCACAGGGATTTAACCCACTGCACCACCGGGGGCTCCTAATATATAATATAATATAATATAATATAATATAATATAATGCTTAATATATACATTATAATAAACTATCATGGAGAACTTGCCAACTGAAAGGTTGCTGGTTCGAATCCAGGGAGCAGCATGAGCTCCCGCTGTTAGCTCCAGCTTTTGCCAACCTAGTATAGTGTTCCCTCACTTATCGCCAGTGTTACGTTTCAGGAACACCCTCAAAAAGTGAAAATCCGCAAAGTAGAGACTCTCTCTCTCTCTATATATATATGTGTGTGTGTGTGTGTGTATGTGTGTGTGTGTGTGTGTATGCATATATATATATATCTTGCATTTCAAGGGTGAGGAAGAAGAGAGGAGAGATTTAAAGACACCATGCACCTTTTATTTGGTTAGCTATAAGGAAGGGGCTCTAAGGCTGTGATTTACATACTGCTTTGCATATCCTCTCTCTCTCTCTCTTTCTTTGTGATTGGCTGCCTGTCTCCCGAGCGAGAGGGTGAAACCCCTTCCACACTCCATCATTGCCAGGAGGCAAAAACTCGCAAAACAGCGAGTCTGCGAAAAGTGAACCATGAAGTAGCGAGGGAACTCTGTAGTTTGAAAACATGCAAATCCAGCAGGAAGGTAACAATGCTCCATGCAGTCATGCTGGCCCCATGACCTTGGAGATGCCTATGGACAATGCCGGCTCTTTGGCTTAGAAATGGAGATGAGCACCAACCCCCAGAGTCGGTCATGACTGGATTTAATGTCAGGGGAAAACCTTTACTTTTACCTTTATTTATCATGGAGATACGACCCAAGTCCTAACATGCAATTCATCTTTGTGAAGGTCATTTTTATATTCCCTATTTTAAATACATTTTTTTTTTGCATGAAGCAAAGTTTGTGTATATTAAACCACAGGTGGTACCATTTTAATTACTGATTTGGACGACTGTGGATTTTGGAACATTTCAGATTTCTGAATAAGGGCTACTCAACTTATACTGTCATACTGATTTGCATTATTAGCAACCAGAAACACTTTGCTTTAAGGGAAGAAGGAAGCAATGTCATGTTTAAGCAAACAGTCAAAAATGAACGTGTTCACACACACACACAGTTCGGTTGCAACCATTGTACACTGGACCCTTAGTATCCAGTAAGGTTTGAACTCGAATCAATGGATTCTCAAGTCCCTGGAATAGTAAAATGCTACCCGTGACATAAAATGACAAACTCAAGGTTGGCTTTGTGTGTTTTATTTTCAAGCCACAGATGGTTGAATCTGTGAATAATGAGGGACAGCTCTAGCTGTTATTTGGAGACACAACAATGTGACAGTGAATAACCTTTGGAAGTGAAGAGTAATTGCATAGTCTTCCCAGGCTTCCCTGTGCCTCTGTTTCGTCTTCTCCTGTTGCTTCCCCGTGTATGAGTATTTGTGTGTGTTTTATTGCCGTTCTCTTGGCTCTGCACATTGCACACACTAAGATTCAGATATGTGGGTCTCTTTCAGGAGACTGCAATAACAAATGCACAGCTTTAGGGGTGCTTTTTGGGAGCATGCAGAAAGCCTCCATTCTCCAAAGTGCCAGGGCATTGTGACTGGGCTCGTATTTGGTTTCAGGTGTGTGTTAGATAGGCTTCAGACGTCACTGTCAGGCCTTCAGTTGCCTTCTTACCTGACCCTTGTCTTTGTGAACCATGGCTCCTCAATGACAGATGGGACAGCTGTATCCATCAAAGGATGAGACTTGATGAAAGCGAGGGTTTCGTCTGGGAAATCGATGGAGGTTTTGTAAGCTTCTGCTAAGCCATGTTTGGCACAACAGCCAGGTCTGGAAGGAAAGCAATGTTGTATTTCTTTAATAGTAATGCAAAGTGCAAAAAGTCAGGACAAGAGAAATAATGATGACAACAATGATACAATCACCAGTGGATGCCCTGTTACTGTCCCAACACCTCATAAAGTTTGGATTGATAGAGACACATAACAGGGCTTTCTTTGTAGCAGCGCCTTGACTATGGAACTACCTATCCAAGGAAGTTAGTTAATTCTGGACCTGGGTTAAAATGCAGTCTGACAGCAGTGGCCAGTGTGGTGGGACTTGGGGCTCCTTAGGGGAGGTGATTGTGAGTGGCGGGGCCCCAGGAAAATTGCCGTGGGGGCCAGATCTGGCCCGTGGGCTATAGTTTGATTACACCTGCATTATATTATTCTATATGTTGTATATGTTTGATTTGAATCATATATATGTTTGATTACAGTGCTCTATCCACTTTACATGTTTTGATTACATTACTCTAGTTATACCATCCTGCTTATTTTGGCATCTGATACTTTCCTTTTTGTGAGTGTTTACCAATACCCGTCTTTTTTGCATTGCTTCTGTTACAGGAAGTCTCCAAGTTACAAACAAGATTTTGTTTCATGTCAGAAGCGACTTCAGAAACTGCAAGTTGCTTCTGGTGTGAGAGAATTGGCTGTCTTCAGGGGCGTTGCCCAGGGGACACTCAGATGGGTTACCATCCTATGAGAGACTTCTCTCATGTCCCTGCATGGGAAGTTGGAGCTGATAGACAGGAGCTCACTCCGTCTCGCAGATTCGAACCACCGACCTTCAGCTCAGTAGTTCAATTGGCACAAGGATTTAACCCACTGCGCCACAGTGGCTCCATACAAACAAGATAGGTTCTGTAGGTTTGTTCTTAAGTTGAATTTACAGTAAAGTCTCGCTTATCCAACCTAAATGGGCCGGCAGAACATTGGATAATTGAAAATGTTGGATAATAAGGAGGGATTAAGGAGAAGCCTATTAAACATCAAATTACATTATGATTTTACAAATTAAGCACCAAAACATCATGTTTTCCAACAAATTGACAGAAAAAGCAGTTCAATACACAGTAACATTATGTAGCAATTACAAATTTAGCACCAAAACAGACAAGGGTTCTTTCTTTCTTCCACCCTGGACATTATTCTGGACGGGAGGCAGACTGTGTTGGATAATACAGAACATTGGATGAGCGAAGGTTGAATAAGTAAGGCTCTACTGTATATGAAAGTTGGAACAAGTACATTTTAAAGTGTAACTCCAGCCAAATATAATAATAATAATAATAATAATAATAATAATAATAATAATAATTTTATTTGTACCCCACCTCCATCTCCCCAAGGGGACTCGGGGTGGCTAACATGGGACCAAGCCCAATGTACAACAGCCAATGAACAGCAGCCAATGGAGTTCCTCAAACAGGGGGGTTGATCACTCCCTGTAATTCGCTCCAGTTAGTAATATACATGTATATTAGCTTTGGATTGCATAGGGAAGGGTTAACACACGGAGCTCACTCCGTCTCGCAGATTCGAACCACCAACCCTCAGGTCAGCAGTTCAACTGGCACAAGGATTCAACCCATTGCGCCACAGTGGCTCCATACAAACTTCACTGTTTGTCCCTGTAAGAATTAGACGTGGAGGCACCTTTTCCCCATGATAACTCTTTCAGGAGTGAATTTCCCTTCCTAGGGGTAGATTTCTCTCACTTCCTGTTGTTTCACCCCTGTTCTTAACTATGAGTCATTTGTAAGTTGGATGTTTCTAACTGCATGTACTAACAGGATGTCAACCCCAGGCTGCTCAATATATTGCAGTGATTCCCACTCTCCTATACAGAAACGTGGACTATCTACAGACGTCATATGCAACTCCTAGAATGATTCCATCAGTGTTGCCTCTGAAAAATCCCGCAAATTTATTGGGGAGACAAGAAGACAAATGTCAGCGTGCTGGAAGAAGCAAAGACCACCAGCATTGAAGCGATGGTGCTCTGCCATCAACTCCGCTGGACCAGCCACATTGTCCGGATGCCCTATCACTGTCACCCAAAGCAGTTGCTCTACTCCGAACTCAAGAATGGAAAACAGAATGTTGGTGGGCAGGAAAAGAGATTTAAAGATGGGCTCAAAGCCAACCTTAAAAACTCTGGCATAGACACTGAGAACTGGGAGGCCCTGGCCCTTGAGCACTCCTGCTGGAGGTCAGTTGTGACCAGCAGTGCTGTAGAATTTGAAGAGGTGCAAATGGAGGGCGAAAGAGAGAAACGTGCCAAGAGGAAGGCGCATTAAGCCAACCCTGACTGGATCCACCTTCCACCTGGAAACCAATGCCTTGGGAAAACATGCAGGTCAAGAATAGGGCTCCACAGTCACTTACAGACTCACGACCAGGACACCGATCTTGGAGGACAATCCTACTCGGACAATGAGAGATTGCCTAAGTAAGTATACAGATGTACCATTGCTTACAGATTTTTGTGTGTGCGTTTATACCTTGGCCTTGGAACTTTATCTTCTGGTACGGCTGTCCAAACAGAGTCTGGGGTTTTTTGTTCTTTAAACCTTCCTTTGAAGACTTTCTCAATATCCTCCATGCTAAAGGCGCACACTGCTGAGCCAGGGATGCTGTACAAGACACAGAGAAGAAGTCGCAAAAGGCCAAGTGACAAAACGGAGCCAGATTAAGCATCGGGTGGTGAACTGGAGAAACTTCTCTCTCTTTTTGATGCTGAGGTCACTCAACTCTCACCTGTTCAGCTGGGTTGTGAAGACGCCGACGACAGTAGGGGCGCCGTTGATGTCTATGATATCTGTGATAGACTGAAGCACATCAAAGTAGAAAAAGGAATCCCCCGGAACAGAACAGTTGAGCCGGGCTTTCAGAAATGATGTCCAGTGCTTCTCCAGCACTCTCTGTGAGCCGCCCATGTCGTTCTTGCAAATGCGGGCCACACGAGAGTACACAGCCTGCGTAAGGAGAGAATGCAAGACAAGCATGAAATCGGTTGAAAGATACACATCTTTGAGAGATCTAACTCGTGGGGTACAATCTCCCAGTGTTCCTATACAAGCTCTTGCTAACTCCTCTAAAGAAGTGTGGCTTCTTACATTATAACTCCTTGAATTTTGCCCTTTTTTGTTGCTTCCATGTCCACTCATTCTTTTGGGAGGCTGTTTGAATCTGCAATACTTCATTGCACTGGGACGGTGGCATAGCTGGCTGGGAGTCAGCTGCATTAAGATCACTACTGACCAAAAGGTCATGTGTTTGAAGCCAGCCCGAGTCGGAGTGAGCTCCCGACCAAAATTGTGTAGCTTGTTGGCGACCTTTGCAGCTTGAAAGTCGCATCTGTCAAGTAGGAAATTTAGGTACCACTTATGTGGGGAGGCTAATTTAACTGATGTATGAGGCCATAAAAATATCCAGGAAGTATGCAAAGAATGAGGAAGTACTTCATCAGGGTCACAAACGGACGGTGAAGCAACAGCTCCCCTGGTGGCCAGAAGGTGGAATGTTAAATAGCCTCTGTGTCTGTCTATATATGTTGTGGGTCTATGGCATTGAATGTTTGCCATGTATACGTACATTGTAATCCGTCCTGAGTCCCCTGCAGGGTGAGAAGGGCGGAATATAAATACTGTAAATAAATAAATAAGTGCTTAAAATGCCATGGTTTGTTGACGTAGCCCTATGATTTGAATAGCAACATTCTCTCTTTATGTGTTTCCCAGTGTTTTTAGAAAGAATTACAGAGTTCAGGTGCAAAACTATCATATCACATAGTGCCATAATATTTTTTAAAAGACAGAATGGAATTCGTTGTTTTGATATGTCTTGGAATGACAAAGGAACCCACTTGAGCATGAGAACAAACGTTGCAGGTCATATCAGGAACTGCCAGAAAAGGATTTGGGACAAGAGGAGGGTTTAGATATTTACAAAACCTTGAGAGCTACAGCAACAAATACCACAATCTCCTGACACATTCCACTCATCTGCAGGAGCCCCGAAATGAACAAGTGGTTCACTTGTTGAACTTCAGAAGGTGAAACTTCCCAGGCAATGTGCTCAATGCTCATTTGTGCTTATGTGTTTTTGTAGCGAGGTACCATTTGAATTAGGAGCCTCCGGTGGCGCAATCGGTTAAACCTTTATGCCCGCAGGACTGAAGACCGACAGGCTGGAGATTCGAATCCAGGGACAGCATGGATGAGCTCTCTCTGTCAGTTCCAGCTTCCCATGAGAGAAGCCTCCCACAAAGATAGTAAAAAATCAAAACATCTGGGTTTCCCCTGGGCAACATCTTTGCAGACAGTCAATCTCACACCAGAAGCGACTTGCAGTTTCTCAAGTTTCTCAAGTCGCCCCTGACACACACACACACACACACACACACACACATTTGGATTTTGAGGCTGAACTTCTCTAGAGGTGCTTTTCTGCTCTTGGCACCAAGCTAGACTGATAAAAAAGCAGTTTCCACAAACATCTCCAGCAACAAAGAGTATGAAAAGGCCTGTGTGCTTAATATTTTTAAAGTTGTAGAACGAAAAGGAGGTTTGCTACTTAATAGCAGGCACATCTTTAGCTTTCTACAGATCTTCCTGAAACTTTGTAGCTGAGCACAACCAATTAACAATATTTATTCTTACCTTGCCTAAATTATTATGTTCCATGGCGATCTCTCGAAAGAAGAAATAAACAAAGTTCCCGTACTCAATGGCATGAAGGAAGTGAGGTTCTGAAAAACCCAAGAAAGAGGAGATAAGCTGCAGTGTTTTCCTTACCAAGGATAAAAACAAAAATTAGTCTGTATTAACTATTATCCACTCCCTATGGCAAAAAGGAGATGGGATAATTGCTGTACCAGCACATAAAATCACACTAGCAAATAGTTCTTGGAGTATCAAGGAATGCATCTACACCAGTGGTTCCCCACCCTTTTTTGACCAGGGACCACTCTCTAACATTAGTACCAAAAGGATTACAAATCAGTTTTTGGTCAACTGTAGATTGGGTTTGGTTATTTTGGGTGCTGATTCAGAAAACTGCATTGGATAGACCACATCAGCTTTAGTTTCTGATACAGAACATATACCATCCAGCACACACTGTCTGCTTGCCCATAGAAAACCATATTTCTGGTTTTCTGCTTTTTATTTAATTTTAGTTTGTTAAGTCATAATTCATATTTATATGTTGGGCTGTATAAATTTTGTTAGTATGGATGTATTGTTGTTGTATTCGGGCATTGAATGTTTGCTTTTTATGTTTGGAATCCACCCTGAGTCCCTTTGGGGAGATAGAGAAGAATATAAATAAAAATTATTATTATTATTATTATTATTATTATTATTGTTATTATTGTAGAGCTGAAGTGGTAGTAGTAATCTTTCTTGTGTTGTCAGCCTCTCCCCTTCTGACATCACCGTTGCCTCGGCACTATAAGAGGGTTTTGTGAGACCAGTCACTCTCATTGCCACATGGTTTCAAGGCAACAGTGCAGTAATGGTGAGGCTGTGGACTATATTTTTGTTCTTGTGGACCACTGGTGGTCCACGGACCATAGCTTGAGAACCACTGATCTACACTATAGAATTAATGCAGCTGTTGCAGTTATGAGTCAACACAGTTGCATTAATGCACTTTGGCACCACTTCTGTAGAATCACATGAGTCGTAGCTTGGTGATGCGCCAGTCCTCTTTATCAAAGACTTCCTTGATTTCATAGCATTGTTTTTAAATTGTATGGCAAATGTTTGTGGCTTACTATTTTCAGAAGCTGCTTTGGGTCCCACTCTGGGAAAAAGGCAGCATATAAATTAATTAGATAAAATAAGAAGTTGTATTCTTATTTGTGTCCAATTCTGGGCACCACAATTGAAGAGAGATAATGACAAGCTGGAATGTGTCCAGAGAAAGAGGGCGACTAAAATGATCAAGGGTCTGGAGAACTAGCCCTATGAGGAGTGGCTTAAAGAGCTGGGCATGTTTAGCCTGAAGATGAGAAGGCTGAGAGGAGACATGATAGCCATGTATAAGTAAGTAAGAGGAAGTCATAGGGAGGAGGGAGCAAGCTTGTTTTCTGCTGCCCCGGAGACTAGGATGCAGAACAATGGCTTCAAACTACAAGAAAGGAGATTCCATCTGAACATGAGGAAGAACTTCTGACTGTGAGAGCTGTTCAGCAATGGAACTCTCTGCTTCAGAGTGTGGTGGAGGCTCCTTCTTTGGAAGCTTTTAAACAGAGGCTGGATGGCCATCTGTCAGGGGTGCTTTGAATGCAATTTTCCTGCTTCTTGGAAGAATGAGGTTGGATTGGATGGCCCATGCGGTCTTTCCAACTCTATGATTCTATTCATGCCTCAAGTTGAGTGGATCCAACTTTCACACATGCACACATCCAATAATAGGACAGTATTAGGATACGGGGTGGAAGCAGAATGAGAGACACATATTAGATAGCCTTTTTTGCTATTGCAGCTGTACAGGTCTCTATATACATTACAGACATGCTGCCATTGCAGCTGCTCTATTGTTCTGCTGGATAAAGACGCCAAGGGCACTGCTAAAGCTCCTGACTAAAAGTGAACTCCACTATTCCAAGGCACTTTAGGACGTCCAACTACGGATGAAGTTGAGCTTCAGTGAATGTGTAGTCTCTTAATGTCAGCTAATGGACTGTAAAAGGGCCTCCGAGGAATTGTATTACAGCTCCAGCCTTTTGTTACTACAGCTTCATTCATTAACTTATTTGAGTAGCGGGGAGGTGAAACAAGTGTTGTTCTTGGACCAGATGAAGACAAAAAGAAAGTGCGTCTTTAGCTTTGAGTCATCCAACGCTGCAAGAGAAATGCATCCTCCTCATCAGAGCTGTAAATAATGATCATCACTGAAATTATCTTTTCTCTCAGTACACCAGGAGCCACTTGCAGCCACTCACTATAATGCAGGCATGGGCAAACTTCAGCCTTCCAGGTGTTTTGGACTTCAACTCTCACAATCCCTAACAGCCTCAGGCCCTTTCCTTTTCCCCTTCAGCTGCTTAAGGGGGGAAAGAAAGGGGCCTGAGGCTGTTAGGAATTGTGGGAATTGAAGTCCAAAACAACTGATGAGCCAAAGTTTGCTCATGCCAACTATGACGGCTTCATTCTTTCCTGGAAACTCACTATTGAATGGCAGTCAGTAACTCTCAAATTGGTGCCTATCCACAGAATACTACTTTGAGTAGGAGTGAACTGGATAGCCTTGAAGACCACTTCCATATGTTACGTCTGTGCAAATTCTACTGGATCCTCATAGGAGTTGTATTTTTACAACAGCTTTCTCTGTCAAATAGTGCTGGTGTCTCACCAAACTATAAATCCCACAATTCTATAGCACTGAGACATAGCAGTTAATGTGGTATCAAACTGTATTCATTCTACAGTGTAGATCATGCATGGACAAACTTCAACCCTCCAGGTGTTTTGGACTTCAAATTCCACAATTTCTAACAGCCTATTGGCTGTTAGGAATTGTGGAATTTGAAGTCCAAAACACCTGGAGGGTTGAAGTTTGCCCTTGCCTGGTGTAGATGCACCCTGATAGGCATGAATAGAGTCTTGTCGGATAGCTCGTTGCTCGTAAGAATTTTGTTAAAATTACCTTGATTCAGCTTTTCCCCGCTTCTGGTCCTTGGCCTCGGCTCAACCCAGAAAAGCCAGTTTTAAACCAGAGAAGGAAGGAATTCCCTGACCTTAGCTCAAACCAGAGAAGCCATTTTTAAAGCCAGAAAGGCCAGTTTTAAAGCCAGAGAAGGAAAGAATTTCCTGGCCTTGGCTCAAGCCAGAGAAGCCAGTTTTAAACCAGAGAAGGAAGGAATTTCCTGGCCTCAGTTTAAGCCAGAGAAGCCAGTTTTAAAGCCAGAGAAGGAAGGAATTTCCTGGTCTCGGCTCAAGCCAGAGAAGCCAGTTTTAAAGCCAGAGAAGCCATTTTTACACCAGAGAAGGAAGGTATTTCCTGGCCTCAGTTCAAGCCAGAGAAGCCAGTTTTAATGCCAGAGAAGCCATTTTTAAACCAGAGAAGGAAGGAATTTCCTCCTCTTGCTTTTCCCTGCTTCTGGAGCAAAACAACTACTTTCAAAGTAAAGACCACCCAATGAAACAGGAAATGACACTTTCAAACCATTAATGGAAGGATTTGGAAGTCTCAGAATTTTCAAAAAGTTTTGCATATTTTTTCTGGGAAAATCAGAATTGACTTTAGAATCAAACCACCAGAGCCCCCTACATCCAAAACGAGTTTTGAACCATTTTTTTTTATAAACCAAGCCTGCACCCTGAGATAATACAACATCCCCAAGGCCATCAAGTGGGTTCCCAGATCCAAACAGAGATTCAAAGTCTCCAAAGTCAGTTGAACATCCAAAGCACTACACAACACAGGGGGCCCTTCCACACCGCAGTATAAAATCCACATTGAACTGGATTATATGGCAATGTGGACTCAGATAACCTAATTCTAAGCAGATATTATGGATTGTCTGCCTTGATATTCTGAGTTATATGGCTGTGTGGAAGGGCCCTGGCTCACTGGCTACTTAGTTAAGTGTATTTAACTTAGCGAAGCCTCAGTGTAGTATAGACCCATATAATGAAGTTTAACTGCACCGAACTGCATTATTTGAGTCCAAACTGCATTATATGGCAGTGTCAAACCAGCCTCAGAGGTAGGTGATGACCAAAAAAAATGTTATCGGGAAATAGAACAAACATTAATTCCAAACAATGGAAGAATTGCAAAGGGACCATTCCATATCCATGCACATGAAACAGTTCATTACTAGTATTAGTATTTTCCAAAAGTACCTTTTATCCACTTTGAGTCATATTTTATTGTTCTTAATGCTGATCCATCCCCCATGCTTCGGTAAATAACAGCATCACTTGCCTGGAAATCTGCGACTGTTGCAGAATATAGCTTGCCATCTGTGGAACAACAGTGCAGAGTGGGTATTAGGATTCAATATTATACCAAACCCAGAGTAACCACATTGCTTATTTCTCATATCTCCCACACCCCAGCTATTCCTCCACTGTAGAGATGGCCAGTGTTTGTATTTTGGGGTCTATTATGTAGGTACTGGACCATGAGACAAAACAATGCTGCTCCTTCATAGGCTACTACTTTTGCAAGTTAAGGCCTCACAGGCTTAAAGAACATACGCTTGACGGTATGATGTTGTAGGGGAGCAACGTGGGGCCATGGGTGGCACAGTGGGTTAAAGCTGCGGAACTGCTGAGCTGAATGTTGGCAGTTTGAATCCATGGGATGGGGTGAGCTCCTGCTGTTAGCCCTAGCTCCTGCCAACCTAGCAGTTCAAAAACATACAAATGTGAGTAGATAAATAGGTACTGCTTCAGCGGGAAAAGGCAAAAAGATGCTCCATGCAGTCATGCTGGCTACACGACCAGGTGTCTATGGACAATGCAGGTTTCTCAACTTGTAAATTCAAAACACCACCCTCAGAGCCAGAGATGAGCACTGCCTCCTGAGCCAGAAATGAAAGGAGAAGCCTTTGCCTTTGTATTTGGGTCTCATTGTAAAAAGGCATTGAATGTTGGCTTGTGTCTGTTTATATGCTGTAATCCGCTCTGAGTCTCCTTGGGGAGAAGGGCGGAATACAAATAAAATGTTGTTGTTATTATTATTATTACTAAAGTGTATTATTATTATTATTATTATCATTATTATTATTATTATTACAAGATTGCTATGCAGGCTTTTTTATTTGATCACACATTGGACACTTCCCAAGTGTCTAGGACTGTGTGATGTAAGACACCCCCTGACCAAATTTTGCATAAATGACCTCAGAAGCACTTTATTTTAGGGTTTGTGCAATTAATTCCTTCCTCAGTCCAGATCTCCCTCCCCAATAATTTCCATTGCCCAATCTCCCAGTATTTTAAAATTTTAATTTTTTATCCTTAAATCTGGCCTTGCTCATGTAATTCCTGTGTGTTTAATGTTTTATACTGATGTTTCGTTTATTATTTTGGTTTTGCATTTTATGTTTTTTGGTTCCGTTATGCTTTGTGTTATATTGTGTTATGCTTTTGTGTAATATTGTGGTTATTGTATTGATGGGCGTGGCCTCATGTAAGCCACCCCGAGTCACCCTGGGGGAGATTTAAAGGGGAATAAATAAATAAATAAATAAATAATAATTATTATTATTATGTATCAGCAAATAATGTGTGCAGATCCGAGTAGGGTGACCTTGTCAGCACAGATTGTTTTTAAGTGCAGGCCAAGGTCTTTAGCCACTGCACCCAGTGTGCCGATCACCACTGGGACCACCTTTACTAGCTTCTGCCAGAGTCTTTGCAGTTCGATCTTTAAATCCTCATGTTGTGTAAGCTTTTCCAGTTGCTTCTCATCAATTCTGCTGTCACCTGGGATTGCAACATCGCCAATCCATACTTGGTTTTCCTTCCACGATCATGAGGTCAGGAATACTGTGCTCCAAAACTCTAGCAGTCTGAATTCGGAAGTCCCAGAGTAGTTTGACATGATGATGATGATGATTATTACTACAATGAGTATGCATCTCAAACAGGACAACTGACAGAAGCTTTCTCCGTTTTCCAAACTAGTATGCATAGCCATGTACAAAACTCTTACAGAACACATTGATTAATATACTACATCAGCTGCAATTGGATTTAGCCCAATGGTTGAAACTGGACAAACTGCCAAATCGGCCAGTAATGTTATTCACCCACTGCCAGCAAGATGGGTGTTTTCTCCATCTGGTAAATTAGGTTGGGGGAGGAAGTAGCAATCCTAAATATGGAAGAGTTATGGTAGGCTATTGTGGGCAATTTTTTCGTATTGATGTTATTTGTGGTATAGAGGTTCTGGTAAAAGTTTCCCCTGGCATTAAGACTAGTCGTGCCCGACTCTGGGGAGTGGTGCTCGTCTCCATTTCTAAGCCAAAGAGCTGGCGTTGTCCATAAACACCCCCAAGGTCACATGGCCAGCATGCATGGAGTGTTGTTACCTTCCTGCAGAAGCCCTTTTGGGTTTCATTTTTGGATGTGTAACTTTAGGTAAAGGTAAAGGTTTTCCCCTGACATGAAGTCCAGTCGTGTCCCACTCTGAGGTGTGATGCTCATCTCCATTTCTAAGCCGAAGAGCCGGCATTGTTCATAGACACCTCCAAGGTCATGTGGCTGGCATGACTTCATGGAATGCCGTTACCTTCCCACCGGAGCAGTACCTATTGATCTACTCACATTTGCATGTTTTCGAACTGCTATGTTGGTAGAAGCTGGAGCTAACAGCAGGAGCTCCCCCAGCTCCCCAAATTCGAACCACCGACCTTTTGATCAGCAAATTCAGCAGCTCAGTGTTTTAACACACTGCATCACCAGTTCTATGCTCCATATAATTCTAAAATAAATAAATAAAAGGAGCAGGTTTTTTTTTTCCTAGAAAGAAATGTGGAGGCAAAGTGATGCAATAGTTCCCTGAAGCATCCTTGAACATCTTCCTGTCTGCACTTCCTATTTCATTTATCAACAAGATTCATTACAGAACATGTTCCTACCAGCAAAGAGGGCGACGTTGGTTTGTCTGGCATCGAACGGGCATCTGGCCAAGCCACTAATTTCTTCGCCATCATACTCCAAGGTATTCAACTGGAGAAGAAAGATAAATTGCTTGGTGGTGTCACTTGAAGCTCTGTGGGACAGCCTGATGCAGGGGTGGGTGGGGTCACAACGTTAGATTTGAATGCATTTTCCATACAAGTCATGCAAAGGCAGCTTGTGTTTACATCTGAAAGGGTCTACATGTTGTGATGGCTCTAAGGAACCAGGCAACAAGAGTTGGAAGACATCATGCCCCCATGTCCTACTTGGGGTCTTCTTGGATACATCCGGCTGGCCACCGAGTGGCACAGGAATTTGGTCTGATTCAAATCTCAATGGAGAGGAACATTAAGGGCCTTGACTGAGTCACACACGACTCAGGGAGGGAGATGTTGACAAGCTGGAATGTGTCCAGGGGAGAGTGACTAAAATAATCAATGGTCTGGAGAACAAACCCTATGAGGAGCAGCTTAAAGAACTGGGCATGTTTAGCCTGCAGAAGAGAAGGTTGAGAGGAGATATGATGATGACCATGTATAAATATGTTTGTGTATGTGCGGGGGGGGGGGGGGGTCATAGGGAGGAGGGAGCAAGCTTTTCTGCTGTCCTGGAGACTAAGACATGGAACAATGGCTTCAAACTACAGGAAAGGAGATTCCACCTGAACATGAGGAATAACTTCCTGATAGTGAGAGCTGTTCAGCAGTGGAACTCTCAACCCCAGAGTGTGGTGGAGGCTCCTTCTTTGAAGGCATTTAAACAGAGGCTGGATTGCCATCTGTCGGGGGTATTTTCCTGCTTCTTGGCAAGGGGTTGGACTGGATGGCCCATGTGGTCTCTTCCAACTCTAGGATTCTATGAATGCCCAATGGCCCTACTTGATATGATATCCAGGTAGCACAATAGGACCCTTGCTTGGTCAAAACAAAACAAACTTTAAAGTGCAATGCAAGGCTTAAACTTGGAATAAAATCTGGGAGATCCAGGTTCAAATCTTCACTTAATCATACCATTCAGGCAAATCTCATATTTTAAGTTATAATGTGTTGGTGGTGAAGAGAAAACTATATAATCCACATGTACTGGGAGAAAAGGCAAGAAAAAAAATGATAATATCTGCTGTGTGTAAGGGGACAGGTCTCCTAACCCCCCAGAGTGTTGGGAAAGCATTCAGAACAATGTTGATGCTTTGGGCCATTGGTCCCTTACCCTATAGTAACGGCACATGGGGTTAAAAGCATTCGTGCCGCAGACGAAAACCATCTCGTCATTCCTGGGAACAAAGACTTTTATAAAATTATGGCATTCGTCCTAAAAAGAAAAATGGAAGGAGAAAGACAAGTTATTTGTTTGACTTATTGAAGAAGACAGACTAAAAACGTACAGAGAGAATTAAAATAAATCCCATCAGTATAGTGTAAATATTCTTACACTGGCGTTCATTACACTGAGACATATACTACTGACTTGCTGGAATTTTAATACTGTTATGTTTAATTCTGTTTTAAGGTTTGCATATTTGTATATTTTAAATTATGTGGTCATTCTTTGAATGGTAAGCTGTTTTTTGAGTCTCCTTTGGGAGAGTATTAATAATAATAATAATAATAATAATAATAATAATAATAATAATAGGTTGCTGTGAGTTTTCTAAGCAGGTATGGAAGGTTTCACCCACATCTATAGCAGGCATCCTGAGAGGTTGTGAGGTCTGCTGGAAACTAGGCAAGTGGGGTTTATTTATATATCTATGGAATGTAGGCATGTGTTAATCAATTGTTTTAATTATTTAAATATTTTTAATTATTTTTATTATTTTAATGTATTGTTGATTGGTCTGTGGAGCCCCCGGTAGCGCAGTGGGTTAAACCCCTGTGCCGGCAGGACTGAAAACTGACAAGTCGCAGGTTCGAATCCTGGGAGAGGCGGATGAGCTCCCTCTATCAGCTCCAGCTCCTCATGCGGGGACATGAGAGAAGCCTCCCACAAGGATGATAAAACATCAAATCATCCGGGCGTCCCCTGGGCAATGTCCTTGCAGATGGCCAATTCTCTCACACCAGAAGCGACTTGCAGTTTCTCAGGTCGCTCCTGACACGACAAAAAAAAAACAAAAAAAAACATATGGTGTTTTTGTGAGGCCGCCCTGAGTCCTCCCTTAGAGTGAGAAGGGTGGGGTATAAATATAGGAAATAAATACATAAATAAATAAATAATGTCCAGGGTCTCCAACGTGGGAGAAAGAACTCTTGTCTCTTGGAGGCAAGTGTGTATGTTCCAATTGGCCACCTTGATTAGCACTGAATTGCACCTTCAAAGCCTAATTGTTGCTGCCTGGGGGAAGCCTTTGTTAGGAGGTGTTAACTGGCCCTGCATGATGTGGGTCAAACGTCAGGAAATAATGCTTCTGGAACATAGCCGTACAGCCCGGAAAACTGACAGCAATCCAGTGATTCTGGCCATGAAAGCCTTCAACAATACAATAGTAGTAGTAGTAGTAATAATAATAATAATAATAATAATAATAATAATAATAATAATTGCAGCTTCAAAGCCTAGTTGTTACTGCCTGGGGGAAGCCTTTGTCAGGAGGTGTTAGCTGGTGGTGCATAGATGTGGGTCAAATGTCAGGAGATAATGTTTCTGGAACATGGCCGTACAGTCCGGAAAACTGACAGCAACCCAGTGATTCCGGCCATGAAAGCTTTCCACAACACAATAGTAGTAGCAATAATAATAATAATAATAATAATAATAATAATAATAATTGCAGCTTCAAAGCCTAGTTGTTGCTGTCTGGGGGAAGCCTTTGTTAGGAGATGTTAGCTGGCCCTGCATAGATGTGGGTCAAACGTCAGGAGATAATGCCTCTGGAACATGGCCATACAGCCCGGAAAACTGACATCAACCCAGTGATTCCGGCCATGAAAGCCTTCAACAACACAATAGTAGTAGCAATTAATAATAATAATAATAATAATAATAATACCCAGTGGAGTGACTGATGCACAATGGGCACTAATGTGTATTCGGGTGCTTTCCAATGTGTATCTGGACACCAACTAAAATAACCCAGAATGCCCAATGTCATCAGAAGTCTCCAGTGTGCATTAGAAGTCCCATTGGCTGATATTTTAAAATAACAATGGTCTAAATTATTTTGATTAGTTGAAAAGGAAGATCAAACTTACCTTGTGTTTTCCCTTCATGGCACAGTTCTCTCTGTCCTGTTGCTTTGACCGCCATGTTAGTTTCTGTCCCAGTAAATCAAAAAGCCAAAAATATTTCTCTTTAACCAGGAATTATATATATATATTTCTTTTAAAAGACAAACAAACTAGTTTTTTGATATTACCTTGCTTGGAACTACTTCTCCTTTCGGAATTTCATTTAAGTTTACAGTATATACTTGATCCCTAGAAGACAAGAAAGAGGCATTAAGAATGATCTTTTCCCGTGTTTCAATAATAATGGCTTAATACTGTAGTTCGGTGTTTCTCAACCTGGGGGTTGGGGCCCCGGGGGGGGGGATGTCGCAAGGGGGTGTCAGAACGGTCGCCAAAGACCATCAGAAAATAATATTTCCTGTTAGTCATGGGGATTCTGTGTGGGAAATTTGGCCCAGTTCTATTGGTGAGGTTGAGAATGCTCATTGATTGTAAGTGAACTATAAATCCCAGCAACTAGAACTCCCAAATGTCAAGTCTATGTTCCCCAAACTTCACCAGTGTTCACATTTGGGCATACTGAGGATTCGTGCCAAGTTTGGTCTAGATCCATCATTGTTTGACTTCACACTGCTTTCTGGATGTAGGTGAACTACAACTCCAAAACTCAAGGTCAATGCCCACAAACCCTTCCAGTATTTTCTGTAGGTCATGGGAGTTCTGTGTGCCAAGTTTGGTTCAATTCCATCATTAGTGGAATTCAGAATGCTCTTTGATTGTAGTTTAACTGTAAATGAAAGCAATTACAACTCTCAAATGACAAAATCAATCAACCCCCCAAACCCACCAGTACTCAAATTTGGGCATATTGGGTATTTGAGCCAGATTTGGTCCAGTGAATGAGAATACATACTGCTGCATGTCAGATATTTACATTACTATTCATAACATAGCAAAATTATAGTTGTGAGGTAGCAACAAAAATAATTATATGGTTGGGGGTCACCACAACATGAGGAACTGTGTTAAGGGGTCGCGGCAATAGGAAAGTTGAGAAACACTGCTGTAGTTGTTTTGACCATTCAAAGAGCACCTTCCTACTGTCAAGCAATCAAAGCAGGGCATTTCCCATCAACTATCATTACTTGGCTAACAAGAAACCATAGTTAACAGCTTCAGAATGAGCCAAGCCACAAAAAAGAGTCATTCAATTCATATTTTGAGTTACTCCGATGATGTTAACTAAAAATAAAATAGGTGGCGGTGCTGTGAAGTGAATTGTGAAGGGAACTGCAAAAGAGTGGCATGCATAGCCCACAGGCTCACTTTATATTATGGCTTATTAAATGAAGTTATTTACTTTACCGATGGCTTAATTACATTATGTTTCTGCCTCAAACCATACCCAAGGAGGTTAACGCTAATACGGCACAGCCTGAAAACAGAAGCTTGCAGTGTAACTAAACAACACCTACATATTAAAACGTAATTAAACCACAATGAACGTAATTAAAATATAATAAAACAGCCCCCAAATAATTAAAACAATACCCTTCAGCAACAGACAAGTTTTTATGTAAACGGCTCACCTGGTAGAAGGAGAGCAAAGAATAAGACAACCTCGTTTCCATGCAAAGAGGTTTTGGAATCTAGGAATGGTCACTGAGGCTGGATCTCCACTGCTGTATAATCCCGGTTATCTACTTTGAAGTGGATTATTTGAGTCTACGCTGTCACATAAACCAGTTAAAGGCAGATAATCTGGAATCAGAAAATGGATAATACAGCAGTGTAGATGGGGCCTTAGAAAGTAATCTCTCAGTTGTGATGGTGGTGGGACTAAGAGAAGGGTCTCTCCCAAAGGTCCTAGGTCTTGGACAAGCTTATGCCAGAAAGAGCCAGCAATCCAGTCAAGCTATTGCACCATCTGAATTGTATGTTCTCTAGAACAAGTACTGATCAGCAGTCTGGATTAAAGCTGACGTGTCCAAACATGTTGGCTGAGGGGTTCAAGGAATTATGCTCCCCTCACAACCACCAACTTTTTCAAACTGTGCTCCCTTTCATAGAACCATAGAATCATAGAGTTGGAAGAGACCTCGTGGGCCATCCAGTCCAACCCCCGTGCCAAGAAGCAGGAAAATTGCATTCAAAGCACCCCTGACAGATGGCCATCCAGCCTCTGTTTAAAAGCCTCCAAAGAAGGAGCCTCCACCACACTCTGGGGCAGAGAGTTCCACTGCTGAACAGCTCTCACAGTCAGGAAGTTCTTCCTAATGTTCAGATGGAATCTCCTTTCTTGTAGTTTAAAGCCATTGTTCCTAGTCTCCAGGGCAGCAGAAAACAAGCTTGCTCCCTCCTCCCTGTGGCTTCCTCTCACATATTTATACATGGCTATCATGTCTCCTCTCAGCCTTCTCTTCTGCAGGCTAAACATGCCTAGCTCTTTAAGCCAGTCCTCATAGGGCTTGTTCTCCAGACCCTTGATCATTTTAGTCACCCTCCTATGGACACTTTCCAGCTTGTCAATATCTCTTTGAACAGAGTGAGCTGCAGTATAGAAGTGGAGAATTCATAGCAAATAGCCAGGATATAGATCAAAACAGTCTACTTTATTCCAAATGTGTTTAGCTGTATTAAATATTAACAGCATGGAATTAAACTTGAAATAGTGAAAAATAAAATACATAATCACTTTGTACCCATTGGCCAGAACTTTGGAAGGACCAGTCAATTATCATTTGGGCTTGGCCTCATGTAAGCCGCTCTGAGTCCCCATTGGGGAGATGGTGGCGGGGTATAAATAAAGATTATTATTATTATTATTATTATTATTATTATTATTATTATTATTATTTTCAAGGAGAAGAAAGCTTGCAGCTTGGAAGCAGTGCATTTGGATCATCCTCCTAAAGGGCCTGGTGTAGGGGATGCTGGAAGCTGTAGTCCGGAAGAGAGTATGGATATGCTATTGTGTGATTTTTTTTTTGTCAGGGGGAGTCATTTTGTGCATGCGTTGTAGCATGTTTTTGCTGTTTTGCGCTTTTAAAGTCCCTTCTGCTGTGTTTTTCAATGTTTCTATGAGTGATGGTCACTCATTGGCCTGATAAGTGTATTGTGTCCAAATTTGTTGTCAATTTGTCCAGTGGTTTTTGAGTTATGTTAATCCCACAAACTAACACTACATTTTTATTTATATAGATGATGATGATGGTGATGATGATGATGATGATGATGATTTTGTCGTTGTGTCAGGAGCAACTTGAAAAACTGCAAGTTGCTTCTGGTGTGAGAGAATTGGCCGTCTGCAAGGATGTTGCCCAGGGGAACCCGGATGATTTGATGTTTTTATCATCCTTGTGGGAGGCTTCTCTCATGTCCCCGCATGAGGAGCTGGAGCTCATCCGCCTCTCCCCGGATTCGAACCTGTGACCTGTCGGTCTTCAGTCCTGCCAGCACAGGGGTTTAACCCACTGCACCACCAGGGGCTCCATGATGATGATGATGATGATGATGATGATGATGATGATGATGATGATTACTGTGTCATAAGTCCCACACGATCTCTTCGTTCATCTGGAGAGGCGCTGCTCACGATCCCACCTGCATCACAAGTGCGATTGGTGGGGACGAGGGACAGGGCCTTTTCGGTGGTGGCCCCGCGACTCTGGAACTCCTTCCCCAAGGACATCAGGCAGCCCCCAACATTGGCAGTCTTTAGAAGGAGTTTGAAGACGTGGATGTTCCAGTGTGCCTTCCCAGAATAAGGACTCCCAAGCAATATGTCCCAAATACACACTTTATGAGAGATTTAGTACTGTCTGCATGCCCATCTATCTTTGAAAATATCCAACCTATTTCCCTGGACATGCCCAGCATTTTAAAATTTTAATTCTTACATTTGGCCCTGCCACCGGTTTTTAATTGCGTCGTGTCATTATCATATTGTTTTGCTTTGTTATGAGTTATTTATTGTTGTATTGTTGTTGTTATGTTTTATGATGTATTTGGGCTCAGCCTCTTGTAAGCCTCACCGAGTCCTGTGGGAGATGGTGGTGGGGTATAAATAAAGGTTTATTATTATTATTATTATTATTATTATTATTATTATTATTAAGTCCTTACATGGTATCCCAATTGCCATCTGAATCAGTGGGTACTTACGGCAGCTAGCACAAGCTCTTGGGCAACCCCTTTACCCAAAGTTACAATCTGGTGTCCCATACAGTATTCTTTGTGCCCTCTCTGTGGGATTTCTGGGGGCAACTGCCAGTCTAGTCTTGGGAAATGATGCCAGGCAAGAAGTTGGGCACCTTGGCCGAATCTTGTGTTAGATACCGCGTCCCTCCGCCACTTCTTTGTCCCCATTCCTCCCTTCCAATTCTATTTCCTGATCCCATTTCTATGGGTGATTTTTTAAGCAAGGTGCACAGATTAAATGCAAAACCAAGGGGAGGGAGAATAGAATTTTAATTTAATCAACCGTCTGCAGGAAAATTACCTGCCAGCAATATAAAGTGTGTCTCGAATTTTCAACATCAGTTGAAAGTCCAGCCTGTGTTGGGATTCGTTGCCTGAAGGGCGTCCTTTAAATACTGGATACTGCCTTGAATCTGCAAGTAAAAACAGGTTACGCCATCACTCAGGATTACAGAGCTAAAGAATCAATAGGCTGCATTGATTAGCTGCACATACCGGGAGGGGAAGGGTTTAGACTAAATTCCTTGCGTAATGCTTTGAATATCAATGAATAAGAGATGGCCAGCATCAGCAAAGGCACTTAAACAACAAACAAACAAACAAACAACCGCAACTTCTTGCAGCTTTTTTATTGCTTTCCTTTCCTTTATATGAAGAAAGCCCATTAAAAAATTAAAAATTAATACGGGATATTTGATGCCGAAAGGAGAATGAGCAAATCAACTTGGCAACTTTCACTCAATGACAACAACAACACAGAAAATGGCAATTAAGCCGCATGTTTAGTGATGTCGGTTACTCACAATGGTAGTCAACAATGTTAATGGGGTCGTCGTCTTCTGGAAAGCTGACGGCGTGGCATCGGAAGGTGGTCAACAGCACTACATAGGCAGGCAAAAGCAGAGGCCTCATGGCTGGAAGGTGTGTGGGTAGGCGGGAGACAAGCCACTTCTTGGCAATAGGATTTACCTGCAGGAGAATTAATTTGGTATTTCAAAATTCATGAAAAATAACGACATACAGAGGTTGATTCCCTTCCAGCACCCCAGCCAGTGAGTGACTCCTTAATGCCTACTTTCTGCTCGCAAAAGACTGAGTAAATTATGTTGCGTGAAAGGTCCCTTTGTGTTTGTAGGCAGAAAAAAAGTGTTATGTGACAGCCCTGATTAAAACTTTTCTGCGACATGTTGACGTTCGCTATTTTTTTATTTTATTTTTTTTTTGGTGCTAAATTTACAAGTAGGTTTCTTTTCGGGAGGTTACTGATGAATGTCAGCCCGACTGAATCACAAGGATTGCAAACAGAACATGTAGCCTTGCTGACTTGGCAGGAAGGCCGGGAACGTTGGGATTAGAATATTAATTAAACTGCAATCTCTTTTCCTTCTCCGAACTAATTGCCACATGGCCCCCAATAAAGCCACTGCCTGTAAATTAACCAAAGCTCCTTTGCAAAATTCCAAGCACATCCCGTCCATCGAAACTCGGCGCCAACTCCTTTCCTTTTACCTTGAGGGCTGGCTCTCTTTTAATGGGGAGAAACGGGTGTTTTGAGCATCCAAATACTTGACACCTCAACTCTGGACGCAAAGCTATCCAAATCAGATCACAGGAACAAAGCGAAATCGCACTTCATGGGCTTTTGTGAATTAACCTTCAGTTTGCAGAACTGGCTGCAAAGATATTTTGCTGACTGAGGGGATGAGACAAGATGGTTAAATCCTTGTGCCGGCAGGACTGAAGACTGACAGGTCACAGGTCCGAATTCAAGGAGAGTGCAGATGAGCTCTCTCTGTCAGCTCTAGCACCCCCGACAGATGGCCATCCAGCCTCCGCTTAAATTGATTGCTTATGGATACTATGTTCCAAACCATGTGCAGTTCATGGTTGCATTCTTCTGACTTTAAATAATGATGATGATAATAATAATAATAATAATAATAATAATAATAATAATAATAATAATGAGCCCCCGGTGGGATAATGAGTTAAACCCTTGTGCCATCAGAACTGAAGACCAGATGTTGAGGTGGGAACACTGACTTGCATGACAAACAAAGAGTTGGACGTCTTGTGACAGCAACCACCGAGTTTCACAAGCAAAGGTTGACAGATTGATTCAGGACAATCATCATATCACTCAGAGAGAAATTTCAAGCATAATCAGCATTTCACAAGAACGTGTGGGCCACATTATTGTTTTGCTTGGCTATTGGAAGATCTATGCACAATGGTTGTGGAAACAGTGCCGACTTCTTCCGTAARGGTTTCAGAAAATTGTTCATCGTTGGCAGAAATGTATCCAATTATCTGGTGATTATGTGGAAAAGTGAATAGTGGTAGTTGAAGAGCACATTCTAAGGATTATTTCTGCATTTGATTTATTAAAATATTCCCATCCAAACCCAAGTAAAGAAGGTGGAGGCATTACTTTTCATTCAACCCTTGTATCTATCTATCTATCTATCTATATCTATATCTATATCTATATATATATATATATATATACACACACACACAGTCATACATACACACACTCAGCAGCAAAGAAAGCAATAGAACATTGGAATTGGGAAATTATGACAGTTCTGACCACATCTTATGAGCATTATAAAGTTCAAAAAGCACATTACCATAGTTTTAGTTTGTATCTACATTAATACATTCAAACACAATTCCTGGTAGTAGCATTAGGACCTCAACATACACTGTATAAGGCAGTCTACTTAATCATACTGGGGGAAATGGTGAAAAAGTGGGAAAAGATTAGTAGAGCTACAAGTGGAAGAATAGGACATTTATTTCCCCCAAATCGAGTCTCTGAGGGAAGGTAATTGCACAATAAATGCTCTCTCTAGGAGAAGGGAGCAGGGAACAGCAAATGGAAAGGTGGACACTGAAATTGAAATAAAGCAATTAAAGGCTGAATCTCATCTTGCAGTTTGATTCCCATTCCTGAAGAGACTAAAAACTAAATCAGAAGTTCACCCAAAGTTTATCACTTGGATTATTTGAGAAGATGTCGGCTCTTTCTTGATATTTCCATCCAAAAGACATTTGCGAACAAAACACCTTTCAACGGCGAAGTGCTGATTATTTCCACTTAATTAAGTTCTCAATCACGATCCCCAAGGGCTCAGAAAACCACTTCTTACATACACTTTGGAACTGCTTGTGAAATGACCTGGAAAATCTGAGATGCATCATAAGTAAAGTAATACTTTGTGTCGGCTTAAACATGTATGGCGGACCATTTCAGCGAGGTTGTTTGACAGTCCAAGAGAGTTTCCTAGTTTCCAACAGACCTCACAACATCTGAGGATGCTTGCCATAGATGCAGGCGAAACATCAGGAGATAATGCTTCTGGAACAAGGCCATACAGCCCAGAAAACTCACAACAACCCAGTCCAAGAGAGATTGGTAGCCAGTCTCCAGATACAGGATAAGATGACATAATATGAACATTAACGCTTCTTAGTCATTATTGGTACAATTACCTAATAACGTCTACATATCCCATACAGAGAACTGACCAGTAGATAAGTGGGACCTATGAAAGGAACATAATTTTGTAATAACAAGTATATGTTCAAGTTAGCATGAAGATTTTGGTTTTTTTCCCCACGTGGGAAATATATGGAAATTTGGGAAATCTCCATAACCTTTTGGAGATGTTATCTTCGTTGGAAAGGCATGACTTGCTAGAATCATAACCTTTTGGGAAAAATTTGGGCTGATGGTTTGGAGCTTACCCCAACCCGGGCTTGAACAGACAACCTTTGGATCAGCAAGATTTTCTGCAGCTGGCGGTTCAACCCACTGTGCTAAAGCCCGGCCCTTTTGCCACCCTAGTTCCTTTTTGGAACTAGGCTCTTGTGGTCTCTTCCAATTATGATTTTATAAGTTGACATGTTAGTTAGTTGGGTGTCTTCTGAACTTACTGACTTGCTGACTGAGTGGCTCCTGTTCTACAATTGATCGCGGTCTATTATATCTAATACGCCAACTTCATGAAAAGACCACACTCAAAGTAAGATGCAACCCACAGGGCCACCTCCCTGAGGCTGTTGAAACAGGCAAGGGTGTCAAGCAAGGCTGCATTCTGGCCCCTTTGCTGTTCAACGTTTATATAAACTCCATAGTGGACCAGCTTCAAAACATGGACTTCCACCCCCAAAAGCTGGCGGGAAGAGACATCTCCATCCTGCTTTATGCAGATGATGCTGCTGTACTCTCTAGAACACCCATTGGGCTCAAAAGAGCTTTGAGAGCATTAATACAACATTGCAACACAGATCAGCTCCAACTCAATTACAATAAAACCAAAATCATGGCTTTTGCTAATAGGCCCAGGACTTACTCTTGGAGCATAGATGGTCATAAAATTGAACAAGTTACATCCTTCAAATATCTAGGTGTAGTTTTCCAATCTAATGGTAGCAGAAGAGCTCATGGGGATCAAGTATCCAACACCGCGCAGGGGAGCTCAATTGCCATTCTTAAATATCTCAGGACAAGAGGGGGCCACTTCACACCGGCAGCGCTCAAGCTGTTTGAAGCCAAGTCATTAGCCCAACTCTTGTATGGTGCTCAGCTGGGCCCCTTCCCCAGTTTTGCCCCATTAGAGGTGGTTCAGTCCAAGTTTCTGAGATCGGCCTTGCAGGTCCCTAAATGCGTTTCTAATGCCACCCTGCGACTAGAGACGGGTTTTATGAGAGTGGAGGCCAGGGTGTGGGTGGCCATACTTAACCTCTGGCTCAGACTGTCCCGTGCACCCCTTGGCCTTGCCCCACTAACCATGGAGGATGACTTCCAATCCACATGGAAGCAGGCGGTAGCATCCAAAATCTCCTCATTGGGATTCTCTCCAGATCTACTATTCACTATGGATTACAATCAAGCCAAAGCACTTATTAAACAACGTATCACAGGCACAGAGCGACAACTAGATCTGGCCTTGGTTCCAACCTTCCTTATCAATGAAGACAGCAGATATCTTGCCTCCCCTACGGAATATTTAACAAACTTAGAGGTTCCCATTCATTGAAGGGCTTCATGCTGGCTCGATGCCACACTCTCCCATCAGCTATACTCGAAGACCGCTACCAGAAGATCCCTTTCCCAGAGAGACTCTGCCCCTGTGACTGGGGTCATATAGAAACAATAGAACATGTGCTCCTTCAGTGCCCGTTCTACAGGGATATCCATGCCAGGCTTATCTTACCTCTGATATACAAGCACCCAGGCCATTCGGGACAATTTTATACCTCCCTGGTACTTGTAGATACTAATTCAGCTACAACCTACAATGTTGCGAAGCTCTGTGCAGCAGCATACAAAATCCATCAGGAGATGACTAGTCCCGAAAGTTAACTGTGTGTCCAGTAATCATCTTCCCTGAATCTACAATTTGGTGATGGACTTGTGCATTGTATGTTTTTACCCTGTTTCCCCTTCCGCTCCCTCACCCACATTGTGCTTCAGTAGTTATATTTATATTTTTAATGTACTTAACGTACCAAGTGTGTATGAAAATGCGACTTCTATTTCCTGTGCTGGTCTATGACCAAAATAAATGATTTGATTTGATTTGAGTGGCTTTTGTAGTCCCTTCCAACGATGATTTTATAAGTTGACAGGTTAGTTAGTTGGGTGTCTTCTGAACTTACTGACTTGGCTTGCCTAAGGTTTCCTGTTGAATTTCACTGGGTTGGGATTTGAACAGAGCTTCAGACATTTTTGGACAGCTCCAAGAACCTTCTCATTATGTGATGGCAAAAATGTAGTCCAAGTGAGACTTGGCTTAAGTTCTGGATCTGAGGTTTTCCCAGGTCACAAATTCATTTCTATGGCACCATGTTCTCCAGATCTCGTGAAATTGTCCGTCTTACAATTTCCATACCATTCCTAGACCCTGGAGATTTTTTTTGAAAGAATCAGATTTTTTCTTTCTTTCTCCAAAGATTTT